AAAGAAAGAAAATTGAACTTCAGGTTGAGGTCTAAAGTCTAGCAAGAGATACTAGAAAATACAACTCTGGATTGTTTGTGTGCATGTGGTAAAAACCAAGCAACAATGCAGCTTTCTAACATTATCCAGTAGTTTAAAAATCACCTTCAAACCTCTGTGCCCTTACATTAAGGAAAAAGGAAAAGGAAATTAGATGGTGTTGCCACTGGTAGCAAAATGCATTATACTATTGTAATGCTGACTTGTGTTTAGTTAGACTGAATGGCATTCATCTGTGTGTGTGCTGCTTGTAGCTCCATGGAAAGGAGAGGAAAAACAGCAGCTGCCTTCATTCCCCTGCACAACACACTGACCGACTTGCATGATGATCACACTCACAGCCTTAAACTCTTGCAGAAAACCTGGGTGGAGAGTAGGCAGAGCAGCCAAGTGGGTGGGTGGGGACATGCAGGAAGTAAAGGATCCCTCTGCTGGCACTTCTTCCTCCTCTTGCAGCTGGCTGGGCAGGCAGAAAGGGACGTGCTTGCCTCTTGCTTATATTGATTCTTTCTAATCAGTGTTAGAGTGACAAAAGCAGATATTGAGCTCAAATCTCTGCAGCCTCATGTACTGGACTTGGAAAATAACAAGAGATGTCAAAGAGAAAACAATGCTCCCTTCTAACCTTGATGTCTGCTTTCCTTCTGCTGTGCGTTAAGTCCACAGCCCAGTGGAGTCCCATTGGAAAATAGCACCTTGCTAACTCTGTGGTGCGTGTGGCTCTCTTTTCCTGATGGATTTCACAAAAAGAGAGATCTGTCCCATATTTGTAATTGTTAATTCCCACTGTTGCTGCTCTCACAAGGATTGTGCTAAAGAGGTAAGTAAGAATTTCAGCTCTGTCAAGTGCATGTAGCCACAGGAGAGTATTTTGGAGGTGAATCAGAGTTCTCTACAAATCTTTTTAACTGATTTACGTTTGCAAAGCTTGGTTCTTTTGCTTTTAAGCTTGACTTTACTTTTTCCCCTGTAGTTTTTTAAATGTAAATTAAAATCCTGACCAGCATGGCTGGAACATTAATTGATTCTGCTGTTTTACACCTATGGTTTTGTTCCAAATCTTAAGCAATTTTTATTAAATTTAGAATGTCTGAGGGTATGTAACACTTCATCTGCCTTCATTTTGATTTGTTGTAGAAGTTATACAGCATTGATTGTACCTTCTCTAATGAAGTAAATTATATTTTTGGTATCTCTTGCATTTGAACAAGATGTTAAACTACTGACTCAGTAATCTGGTGATCTAATTAATGCAAAATATTATGTATTTCTAGGCAAAAAAATGTGGAAGATTTCTGGAGAGCTTATACTTTGGGGTTTAAAAGTTTCCTGCAAATTTAGTGTTTTTAAGAATACCAAACTTGGCTTTAGTTCATCAAATAACTGTATATGTTGAATTTTGGAACGTGTTTTTTCACCTTGTTAAAATCTGATAAAATCACAAACTTTATCACATCTAATATAAGTGAAAAATGAAATCTTGCTTATGCTTAACATGCAAATTGTGAGTTTTTAGCTTTGTATCTGTAGCTACCTACATAAAGTCCATATTTTAGAGGCATTCTCAAAATATAAGTGTTCAGTGATTTTTATTTTAAATTGGCGCTTCTTTCAAAATAAGCAGCTCTGCCCTGACTGTCCTTCTGTAAGCCTGACAGCTCAAGCAGCAGTTCAGGAAACTTCAGCTCACTGGAAGCTGCTGCAGCCTTTTTTGGTTGGATTTGTTTCAAGTCTGATACATGCTGTGATTTGATTCATTATGCAACTGTATTAATGTGTTTGCTGGCAAAATAAAGGAAATGACATGGGTGTGGGAATGGGAAATGGAGAAAAGGATGCTATTGCTTTCAGCAGCACTGTCAGCTTGTGCAGTTTTAGAACAGTAGTTTGAGAAAATGTTGATTTTTCATGTGTGCCTGTTATATGTGTCTCCTTTTTTTTTTTCTTTTGCGAGGGCTTTTCCTGCTGTTTCTTCAGCAAACTTGTAAATAATGCTAGTGGGATTTGGCTGTGTAGTTCTTAAAGAACTGCCACTGGGAAACAGGACTAGTAGGTTAGGGTTTGAGTTATCCTGTGGTTGTTCTAAGGAGTATGGGGACCAGGTGCTGCACATAAGAATTTTAAGTGTGGTAAAACCAGGAAACACTGTCTGGCTTAACATTTCTTTGAGTGCCTTTGGGTTCAGAAACTGCTAAAGGTATGCTTGGCTGCCCAGCTCATGCAGTCTTAAGAACATATCAAGGTTATGTGAATTTCAGGGTCTGGCCTCCCTTGGGTTTTCTGTGATGGCAGATTAAGGTGTGTAGGCAGCTCTGGTTAGAAAAGATTTCACTGATTTATTGAGTTTTAATCATTTATAGTACCCCTGTCTTGTATAAAAGAGTTCGGCACTTCTTTTGGTGCTTGCAGGAGGGAACAAAAGGGTTTGAAAAGCTGATGAACTTCAGTATCTGGGGAGTGCTTTTCCAGAGCTGGAGAGGAGGCTTAAGCAGCCTTTCTCATGGACTGTGGAGTAACGTGAGAAATGGGGAGCTGCTTGAACACAGAATCCTGTGCTGGTTTTAGGCCCTAGTGTGATGTTGTCCCAGATTTTCTCAGGAGCAGTTGGAACATCGAAGTTCTGCTAAAGAAGGCTGGCAGGAGCTTCACTTTATAACTGTACTCTTGGTTTGGAATTCATAAAATGGGGTATTGTAAAATGGTCCTCATGGAAGGGCCTGAAGATTTTGGATAAGTGTTTCTTTCAGCAGTGAGAAAGGGTAGCAGACTGGGTAGCAGACTGAATTACTGATTTTAAAATCTATCCTTAGATTTAACTTTTCAGACTCTGTGCAAGAACGGACCATGTGGTACAATAATTAACAAGAAAAATCATATCCTGGCTTTGTTATGCTGATATTTTTCTGTACCAGTTGTCTTCCTCATGTTAGCTTTTAGTTTTCTGAAGTGAGATAGTCATGGATCTGACATCATCCTTCTGCTGCCACAGTGTAAATGAATGTCAGTGCAGGCTGCTATGTCTGAGGCTTGAGCTATTTAAAAGACTTACATGTGTTAAACTTGGGCAAATTTAGATGGGAATATATGCAGTAAGGAGTTGAATAATTATTGCATAGGTTATATATGTTATACAGGAGAGCATTTAATTATATATAGAAATAGCTATACTCCATATATAAACCTGAACTTCTGGGGCCATTTTAAGTGTGGTCATAATGAAAGGTGGCACCTTTGACAAGTCAGCTATATGAGGAGAGTTTTATAAAATCTAAAATCCGTTTAGAGTGGAGAGCTCTGTGTCCTGCTAGGAAGCTGGAGATTTGTATAGGGCCTGGTTACAGTCTGAAACCTACCCATCCAAACATGGGTCTGATATTGTATCACCTGGGGCACTGATTTTCTTAAGGCTTAACAGTCAGCAAAGCTTCTAAAAGTATTCAGCTAATGTTCATTGGCAGCCTGTGTTTCAGTGCTTATTCTAGTCACAGTATAGTCTGCAGTTCTGTGAATTTCTATTGCTAGAGTTTCACAAGGGCAAATTTTAGACCAAAGAACTAGATAACCTTCCTGTTATAAGAGCATACTGGTTTTTATCAATTAAATTGTTTTCTTTCTGCAGTGTGGGGTTTTTGTGTTGGCTTTTTTCCTTTTAAGAACTTTGAGTACAGGGTTGGTAGTTGCAAAGACTGGGGTTTTGACTCAAACTTTTCTGTTTCAAGGCTTGTTTCCTTCTCACAATAGAGGAATGGGGAAGGATCATATCTTGATGTCACGAGTATTTTGTAGGATTTTCCTAAAGTTTCTGTTTAGGGCACGAATCACAATACTTCATTTATTTCTGTACTTCAGACCTGTGGTTTTCACTTTGTGTTTACTTGTCATTCAGCAGTGACACACGGTCAGATGTATCAGGTGTATAATTTCAGGATTGTTTAGCTTGAAAATACCAGCTCTGTTCAAACATTTTAACAGCATGTCTTCATCCTCTCTCATTCTGCTGTTTTAAATACAGAGTTTGAAACTAAAGGATGAATCAAGTAAAATTGGGTGCCAGATTTGTTGTGGACAGTTGGCCCCAAAATACCACTCTTGGCTGTGATTAAGTGATGAAATTTGGCTTTCTGCCTAAGATGTTTTTCAGAATTCCCAGATGGTCACATCTCATGGCATGTTTATTTCACTGCTTTGGATAGTTAATCTTACTTAGGTTTTGTTTTTCTTTCCCCCTGTAGTTTACTGTGTATTGGGAAAAGGGTTGCTGTGTATTGTGGAAGGGCTTTTGTATAGCCTCTATTGTAAGCTCATTTCCCTGACATCACAGCAGCAGTGATGCAGGAGTGTGGCTTGGGTTTAGTAGGGCTTTGCAGGAGAGCTAAGATGCTAGAAGGTTTTTGGGTTTTTTGTGGGGGTTTTTTTTTGGGTTTTTTTTTGTGTGTGTTTGTTTTTTTTTTTTTTTTAAACATTGGACAAGTTATTTAATGATCCAGTCAGATCATCCTGGGCTAGGGTTTTTCCTGTTAAAAAAATTACTTCATATATTGTAAGGTGGAAACATTTTGGGACTCAACAGGATGCTTTGAAGACTGTTAAATTAATCCTATGGTTTCTGGAATTAGTGCTACACAGGAACCAATTCCTTCCATTCTCAGTCCAGTCTGGTTTACTTCCCTCTAACCTGCACAACTTCTATGGAAACGAAAAAGTTCTATCATAATTTGAGCACTCAAGTGCCAATGCCCTCTGTTACAGAAATGTAGCTGGGAAATGGAAAGGGGGGTGTGTGGAACATTTGCAAAAGTCACAAACAAATGAGCAGTAGTACTGGGTTCAGACTTTGCCTCAGTTTGCACTAGTTATTTAGGTCAGTTATCTAGAGAGTAAAAATAGGTGGTTTGTGAACACAATCAAAACTTAAATGAGATGGCCTTTGCAGTTTCTCAGTTGTTACTTATGTGTTTCAGGGTGTCAAGCCAGCCAGCTTTGATAAAGTAGCAATCCCTGAAGTGAAGGAGATTATTGAGGGATGCATTCGGCAAAACAAAGGTGAAAGGTAAGTACTTGCTTTGTAGATAAAGCTACTAGCTGCTGTCTGAGTCCTTTATGTACTTTTGATGATACCAAATCCAGTTAGTTCCTGGGGTCTTTGTTCTGCTGAAAGTTGGGAAGCCAGTATTTGGCTGATCTTTGGTAGATTCCTTTTCAGTGACTGTTTAAGAGGATTAAGTGTCAGGAAAATTGCAAATGACATAGTAACCATCCATGTCAGTTTATTCAGAATTTCTATTGCTTTTATTAAAACTTTGTCCTAGTCAGCAGAGTAGTGGAGGACAGTCCTTCTGGGTTTCCAGGTGTTTGGATTGGTTGATTGGGTGTTCTGTAATCCTTCGGGATTTTTTTGTCCCTTTAATTCTGTTCATATGATTGATCATTTTGAGGACTCCAGGTTTTAAATTCTTGCTGCTCATATGGATGAAACCATATTTTCTGCAAGATGACTTCTACTTCAGTTAACTTATACCATTGCAGGAAATCTGAAACTGTGCTGATGGCTTATTTGTGGGATTTGTTTTGTTTTCTGCTTTTACATGGTTATTGCTAACTGAATGTAGATTCCAGACTGTTCCAGCTTTTATTCACCCTTTAGCTGCCCACTGTTCTGTTCAGAACTGGTTTTGTTCATTATGTTTATTCATCCCATTTTACTAACTCTTGAAGTTTTACATCTGGTGGTGTTGCTGTGTATTTTTAGTTTCAGTTCTTTTTCTTGGTTTTAAACAATTTAGTATTTTTTTCTCATTTGAAGTTGATTTGTTCTTGCACATCTCTTATTTCTTGCCATTTAGTTTAAACTGTTAACTACAATTGTTAATGATGTGTTTGTAAATCTTGTACCTTCAGGACAAAGCTTCTAATTACACCCTAGAAAATGCACATGAGGTGGTTCAAAACGGTGAAAAAATTTAGAGAATAAATCAGGGGAGCATCTGGCAAAGTTATTCCTTAATATTTTATTAAATCCTGGTAACTGAATGTGCTTTTTACATTCTTTCCCAATATCTAGGTATGCTATTAAGGACCTTTTGAATCATGCTTTCTTCCAAGAAGAGACTGGAGTACGGGTAGAACTTGCAGAGGAAGATGATGGAGAAAAAATTGCCATTAAACTCTGGCTCCGAATTGAAGACATCAAAAAACTCAAGGGCAAATATAAAGATAATGAGGCAATAGAGTTTTCATTTGATTTGGAAAGAGATGTCCCAGAGGATGTGGCACAGGAAATGGTAAGTGCTGGTGGTCTGACAAAGCTCTGGAAGTAGTACTGTTCTGTGACAGTGGAATGTGGTCTGCCAGCCTCTGCTTTTGCTGTTACTGACTAGAAATAAACCAGTTCACAAGTGTGTAGATGAATAGTGCCAGAAAGAGCTTTGTTGTAGCACTTGGACAGGGGCTGTCTGTGGCAGTGTGAATTCTGTGAATGTATCCTCCCTCAGGTGGAGTCTGGCTATGTCTGTGAAGGGGATCACAAGACAATGGCGAAGGCTATCAAGGACAGGGTATCTTTGATTAAGCGCAAGCGAGAGCAGCGCCAGTCGGTGCAAGAAGAGCAGGAGAACATACTCCAGGAAGAAGGTAGTCAGAAGCAGCAGCTGGAGCAGCAGCAGCCATCAAGTGCTTCCCATGCAGGGTCAAAGCATCCCCAGTCTGTCACTGGTACTACTCCTGTCCCTACTGCTTCAGCGTCAGTTTCTACACAAGTGGAGCCTGAAGAGCCAGAAGCTGATCAACACCAACAGCTGCAGTTCCAGCAACCCAGTATATCTGTTCTTTGTAAGTGCCTCAGTTAGTTTCTTTAGGAACTCTTGCACTTACACAGTTCCTCCCATTAGTTTTATGTTTTTTGTGAGTATAGCAGTAAATGCCCTAAGATGATGCTGTTTGCCATTGCTGCTGCTGAAGAACAGTAAGCCATTAGAAAGCACAGCAACATAAGATGCATTCCAGCTGAACCAAGGCTTGGCACAATTCACAGCCCAGTGTCTTAGCACAGCATGGTTTCTCTTTGTTTCAAGGCAATATACTGAGTCAACTTGGGCACCTAGAGCATGAACACACATGCCCTTGGTTTTGCTGCCCTCTTACAGGGACAGTATATTCTGGCCCTGCTGCTGGCTGTATGCTCCTGCACCAGTGCAGATCAGGCTATTAAAACCACTCACTTGAATCCTTGTTAACTTTTAAAGTGGAAATGAGATTAATCTACAAGTAGTTCAACTCATAATTTCCTTTCTTGAAAAGTCTTAATTTTCTGTTTTACATACTGTGCATGAAAAGATGAATTTATAAGCCTATCTTTTCTTCTTCTGCCATCCCAGCATTTGAATAAGTATTTGAATAATGATGGAAGATGACAACTTCTGTATTAGAGTGATGAAGTTAAAAAGCAAATTACTGTGTGCTCGTTAGATAACCAGGATTTTAAATTATGCCTAGTTCACTACTGTGCCTACATGGTGCATTTGCCAGCCAGCATAACACAACTGTTTTAAATGTCTGTGTAAAATTAAATAAAAATAATGATTAATAAACCTTGAAAGATCATTCATAGCAATGTGGAATTTCAGTTTCTATTTCTAGTCTAGCCTTTTGTAGGAAGTATCATTTATTCTTAAATACGCTCCCAAAGAACTCCTGAACTGAATAATTTTTCAGAGTTTTAGGGGAAGGCATAATGGAGGAAAAAAAGATTATAAAATCAGCCTAAATATTACAAGAGGTAAAATGCTAATAAAGGTCCACGTGACATGGCACAAAAATCAATTTAATATTTGTTCAGTTATAGGATCTTTGAAGTTTTTAATCCAGACCACAGTTCTTGAAATGCAGATTTTTATCCTTAACTTTTGCAGCTGATGGAACAGTTGACAGTGGCCAGGGGTCGTCTGTGTACACTGAATCTGTGAGCAGTCAGCAGACTGTGTCTTATGGTTCCCAGCATGACCAGTCAGTCTCAAACACTGGAGTCCAGGGATACCCAGCTTCAGTTGGCCAAGTGCAGTCCCAGCAGCATGGAGGTTATCAGCCACCTGCAGCGGTAAGCCAGACCTTACAGCACTACAAATGCATGGAATTGGTTCTGTATGTCTGTTGAAAGATGAGAGGCAATCTGCCAGGCCATCTTCCATGTATATTTTATTTTGCATAGGATACAGATTCTGCATGGGAGGAGTTCAGGAGAGTTTTTTTTTGCAAGATGACTGATTTTAGAGGAGGAGGGGAAAGCGCAAGAGCGTCTTTGCCTTTAAAGCTTTTATTTAATCTTGACTGCAGTTAAGCAGAATAATGGGTTAGTAATTTTTGTGAATGGAAGTAACATCTTCAGAACAAGACTACCTCTTGAAAATAAGCATTTAATCTTGCTTGGGAAGGTGGTGTGTGTATGTATATATGAAGTTACCAGGGATCAAGCTGCTGGTTTAGTTTGAAGAAGGGATTAGAGTAATTGAAGCCACTGTATGAAATTGCTATGTGTATTCTGTGAGACTTTGATTACAGATTTTGCAGGTAAGACTCTTTTTGACTGTTACAGAATGTTGCATGTGAGAACTCCAGACTGAAAAGACCCCACATCCTTGTTCCCAGTTTTATTTCTAGCTTGTGTTGATTTGCTCATCATGTGTATTCCTTTTCCCTGGAAAGTCTGCACTGGGCACAAATACTTTTCCTACTATGTTCATTTGTGTTGCCCTTTTATTTTGGTATGTTTTTTCCTTGGTATGTTTTTAGATCTGAGTAAGAGTGTATGCAGAAATCTATTCTAATTCTGGAGTAGAACTTCTGCTACTTTTATATTGTCTTCAGTGGTTCCCTTGTCACTTGTTATTTACACAAATAAAAATTCAAGATTGAGGCAGACATTACGGTATAACGTAGTAACACCATAAAGAAGATGTGATACTTAAGATTGAGGGTCCTCACTTCTGGTACCTGTTGTTGTAGCCTTTATTACAGAATCACTGGTGTAACTAGGATTTTGGCAAACAGGCTGCTATCACCCACAAACAAAGCATCTCCATCTTTTTCAAAGACCTGAGGTGTGTGGTACTGTTAGTCCTTGATGATGAGTTTTTAATCCCTCTAAATAAGCTGCTCTTCTGGGTAAGCCATATTTTGGAGTGTGGGCACATACTGGGCCAGAAGCCATGTCCACTCTCTTGGGATGGCTGGCTTACAGGTTGAAAGACTAGAATATTTTGGGAGGAGGAGGGAGAACAAGCATATGATAAAGGTACAGCTAAGCTGTGTAGTTTGCTGCAAAAACGTGCTCAATGCTATATGATGACAATTGTGGTAGCAGGAGGCTGGTAGACTACAGGGACTACTAACCCTTTGTTGGGAAGGGGCTGACAGGTCGAAATTATATTGACAACTGAAGAAATGGCCATAAAAAGAATCACAATGCAATTTGATCAGGACGAGAACAAGGTTGGTGCTTAAACTGGAATAATCAGCTACACAAGTACATAATGAGTAACCACTGGATAGGCATCCATTTTGCAAAATAAATTAAAAAAAAAAATCAGGGATTACATTGGACCACAAGCTGGACATGGTCAAAAACATCATGCTGTCATGAAAAAGGCAAACATCTCATTATATTAAATAGTAGTTCTGCTCTTGGCTATTGGTAAGTCTATCCTGCACCCTTTGGTTGAGTGAATTGGAGGGTGGCTTGGGAGAAAATTCAGAGGAGTGTTAAAAAAACCCCAGGAGAAATGCAAAAAACGTAGTTTATGTGGGAAGACTGAAATAATTGAGTCTATACAAGATAAGCTTGAGGAGAGAGAAAGCTGTAAAAGGCTCCTATGAAATAATGAGAGGCTGATCAGATCACAACATTATTGTTAGATAGAATAAAGAATGATAAGCCTAGAATAATTCAGCATAGAATTATTGTTTGGGAAGGGATTTATTTAATCCTCCACAAAGATAGATAAGTATTGTAGTTTCCATCAGTGCAGGTGTTCTGAACTATTAGATAAATTAGAGTCAGGAATGGTGTATAACTACTCCTGCCTTGGAATAGATGAAGATGTATTTAGTTAACCATTTGAGTTCTTTTCTATCTATCTCCCAAACTTTTAATCAATTTAGCAAGATTTCTCAAAACAGAAATCTTGGAAATCAAATATCCACTGAATATCTTGCTGTTTTCTCTCTGTAGGTCTGTATTTGATTTTATTTAGTTTAAGATATTGTGGGTTACCTCCATAAGAAGTGTATACTGCCTCTTTAAAAATATGTTTCCATTCACTTAAAAAACGCACAGCAAAACACAATAACAACCCCCCCCCCCAAAAAAAAAAAAAGGAATAACAAAAGCCTCTGAACCAAAAAAATGAAAATCCCAACTCAAGACTTTATTCTGTTTCTTCTGATTTGATTGGATTTTGACCTGTAGCCTTCTGGATTGTGGCAAAATTACAAAATCCAGATGTTTTTATTGGCCCAGCATCTGGAAGATGCTTGTCTAAGTCTAATTTTACAGAATTTTCCACAGATTAAACTGAGTTTTTTTCCACAGCTCATGTTGTAGAAGGTGTAAGGTTTAAATTTTTATGGTAATGTTTCAGTTAATGAAGAGCCAGCTGCATGCATTTAGTTCATAATTTGGGCAGAGGGACTGCCCCAGTAGAAGAACTGGGTGACAGTTGTAATCACACATTCACTCTAAAAACTGATCAATGTTTGAAAGCTCATTAGTATCTAAGGTTTTATTTGTCAGACTACCAGGTGCTTTGAGTACACAGACTATGAGCTGTGTCTTGTGGCCCGAGAGAAACCATTCTCTGTCTGATCTGCCTTCCATGTGTTCTCATAAGGATTCTAGGGAGCTTCCCACACTGCTCAGTAACCCAAGGCAAACTCGGCTCCTCAGAGGTGCACACAGCCTGTTCCCAGTGTGTCTTGGCATTCATTCAGCATTCTCATATCTTGTGGTACCACATATTAGTCAATATTGGGCCTTCCATTGTGTATCTTCATTTCTTTTCTACCTCATTATAGTTTTTGCTGGTTTTGTTATTACTTTTTTTTTAAGTGTTCAAGTTTTAACTTTTGTTTTCCTCCTTCAGCCTCAACGTGGTCGTAGCATGTCAGTTTGTGTCCCCTACCTTCCTGCTCTTCCCTGTATGTCCTGCATCCCTCTCAGTGCTCCTTGCACCCCACCACCAGCGCTGTCTGCACCTTTTTCTCCTTTCTACCTTCGGACTGTCCCTGAAGAAACCTTTGCAGAAAAACTTTCTAAAGCCCTGGAAAGTGTCCTGCCCATGCACTCTGCCTCTCCACGCAAGCATCGACGCTCCAGCCTGCCCTCCCTCTCTGTCAGTCCTGTATGTGTTACCATTTGCCTCCTGGCACAGTAAGATAAGTTATCATTAAATACATCCTGGGCTCTGGGCATTTTTCAAGGGAGAAATTGCAAAGTCAATTCCTTGTACTGTGCTGCTGGAATGTTGATTTTGTTAGGTTTTTTTATTTCTATGCAGCAGTACTGGTAACCATTATCAAATAGTGGCTGACTGCTTATTTCTTATCTTTTAGGACAGTATAAATGTAAATTACCCAAGTTGTACCATGGAAGGTAAAGGGAAGACTAGTTCTTAATACCCAAAGTCAGAAGACTTATTTTTCCACTTCTCAGTAAACACTGCATGTTAATTAGGCCCTTCACAAAACAGCAAGCTTTTAGAGCCTGATTGCTGTGGCTGCTTATTCTTAAAGCTTTGGCTAGCTGTGATAGTGATATTAGATATTTAGAGTATGAGTACTTTTGAGGTATTTTTTGTAAATTCTTATCAGAAACTCAACTTCAACTTCTTCTTAATGGGAAGAAGCAGTAGTTTCATATTTCTTAGAAAGTCAGATGCAAAGATAACATGCAAGAGGCGGTAGATTCGTTTCCATTTTCAGCTTCAGTTTACACAAGATAAATTTTGAGAAGCATTTTTGTGTAAATGAAGTAATTGGAACCAGGTTTAGAACATAAGAAAGGTACTTCAGCTGTAGGACCTTCTCTTTAGCATCAGTCAATATGGAAATTTGCTGCTGCTTTTCCGGACAAAAGAGGCTGGGGAGAAAGTAAACAATGTGGAAACAGCAATGTGAAAAACTCATAAATGCCATTTGTCTTGAGCAGTATACTTACTACTGACTCCTACAATTTTTTTTTCCAGTAGGGAAGAGACTACATGGTCTATGGGCATACTGCAGGCAGACATGAAAATATGCAAAATTACTAAATTGTTTGATGTTCTTACACAGAAATCTCTGTAGTGAAATATTCCCTACAACTCTTAAAAAAGATGAGCCTCCTCTGAAGTAGTACCTCACATGGAGTGGAATTGCCTGAAGACTCTGCTGTTCTTAAACTTGTGAATGTTTTATTGTCCAGGCAAGAGCTAAGTTTGTTTCAATGAATGCTAATTTTTTGTATGAAAAGGTATGATTATAAGTGATTAAAGGATGTTTTTGTCTTACAAATTATGATATTAAATGCTATTTTAAAATGATAAATTATGATTAATCAACTTATTATTAATTTAATCAGCTTAAATTATATTTTATCTTACAAAATATTTCCTTTTGGCTTTTTGGATAGCATACAGGACACTAGCACTGTGGATTTTGTATTGGAAAATATTAACATCTAATGTCATCTTCTGAGTGCAAATTCGAGGCTCTACATTATTGCTGTTCTCAAGTTCTGAATTTCATATTCCACATATGGCAGTGACCTCAGGGGTTTGGTTGGAGTTCAAGCACTGATCACAATGGATAGGCCATAACAATAAGTCTCATTTCATTGTCAGGAGCAAAATTGGTTCCTTTTTGTGAACTATTGGAATTGAACTGGAAAAGCAGCTCTAACACCAGCAAATATTCCCAATTGTAGCTATGCCTGCCATGGATGTATTTAATGGATATTAACACCTCACCTAAATTTCCTAAGTACTGTATGTTTTTGACCATGAATTGAGTATAAATTCTATAATTACTTCACAGAACTGCCTAGTGAACTGTGCATGTTGATGTGCTTTCACTTTTAATGTATGAATTACCTGTCTTGTTCATGTCAATACAGCCTCAGCATCCTCGTGGGGGAACACCACCGTTCCCAGATTCACAGATATTTTTCCCAACCGTTCATGAACGGCCGGTGTCTTTCTCACCACCACCTGTCTGCCCGCCGAAGGTGGCAATTGCTCAGCGGCGCAAGAGCACTTCATTTTTGGAAGCCCAAACTTGCCACTTCCAGCCATTGCTGAAGACTGGCCAGAGTTTAGTTCCACCTGGTGGTAGTCCCACCAATTGGACTCCAGAGGCATTTGTTATGCTGGGCACAGCAGCTCAGAGAGTCGCTGGAGAGCCTCTGCATGTGCAAGTTAATCCCGTGTTTGAGCAAGCTCCTGTCCACAGTGACTATAGATCTGGACCAACACCTCCAGAGGATGCTCACTACAGGATGCATCCAGAAGCTGTATATTTGGTGGGCATGCACTATCCATCACAGGTATCGGAGCAGTATGATCAAGTAGCTTATAACTCTCACGTGACTGAACAGCATTTGAAGCAGGTCTCTGAGTCAAACCATGGGCAAGGTGGTCCTCCACAAAGCTCTGTGTTCGACTTTCAATCGGGGCAAACATATCTGGCAAGACATGTTCAGAACCTGAGGCTGGATTCTGGGATGGGTCCCCTTTCTCCATTATCCAATGTTTCAGCTCCCCTGAGTGCAGAGCCAGCTCAGATGACGTTCCACCAGGTGTTTGTTCCGCACTCAGCCCCGGCTGTGCTCTCTCACAGTGCTGATGGCAGAGCGAGCTGTGTCTTTGAGTTCCATGTGCACACACAGAGCTCTGCTCCGGCAGAAGGGGCGGCTTTACCCCCACGGGCCTACAGAAGTCGCCGGGGCTCTATGGAGACCAGCCATGAGGAGTCCACCCAAGGCTTAGGGTCGCATGGTCGGCTTCAGCCTGTGACAGAAGAGCACTGTAACTATCTTGGTGTTGGGGTAGCGGGTCCCAGAGGGGGCTCTGCCAGGCGCAGCTGGCCAGAAGGAAGCCCAGAATACTCCAGTGATTCCTCACAGCTGACTTCCTCTGACACTGGTGATTTCCAGTCTCCCCCCCCTACAGGGGGATCATCTTCTGCTTTTGGTTCAGACTTCTCATTGCCCATTGTTCAGCTGCCTCAGAAGGTGTTGCAGGAGTCGCAGCTCTTCATCTGCTTCCCCCAGGGAGCCTCAACTCAGCAGGCCTTGTCCACCTCGCTTTCATCAGGACCACCTGCATCCTATCCTCAGGTTACAGGAGCAAACCCTTCCACAATTGTGCTGCTTTTTATAAGGGAAACCTTGCTTTTAGACCTGCTCCATGTGGTTCTAAGAATTGGCATTCATAGGGGTGTCTTTCCACCAAGTCTATACTAGGATCTCTTTAACTTAACCAGGTTGCTATGAAATAATGAGGCATTAGCAACCGTCTGGTGTGTGTTCAGATTTGGCTGAAATATTGGTAGGACATTGGTGTTAAAAGTAAAAAATGGTCAGTGTTCCTGCTGGGACTAGCTGTTTATTTGGTGAGAGATTGCTGGAGTACCAAATTGGCTTTTAAACAGTGGTTTTAATGAAATGTATCTCTTCTCCACACTTAGAATCAGTAGTGGTAGTACAACTTGCTTTGTGTTTCTGTTGCTGCTTTTTAGCCATTTTAATGTGTTTTTTGAGGTTGAACTTTCATACAAATAATGTTTCATTAGACAACAAGGTTATTCTGGTGACTGTCCAAAATGCAAGAGCTTTTTCTAGATTTGGGGAAAGAAAGTGGGAAGAGAGGAATGGAAGGAGCTGTGTTATGTATGTGTATATGGATTTGGAAATGTACTTGTTGAAGAAGTATTTGAGGAAGCTAAACAGGCTGAGTGGTTAATTAATGACACAAACAACTGTTGCTAGTTGGTACTGCCACACCCTCTAAGTCTTATGTGGTGTCCTTTTAAAGCAAAATTTGAAGCCTGAAGCTTAGTTTGGAGATGTGTTTTTTATCAGCGCATGTGGTATCTGCATTTGCAATGGTCACTTTACTGTACACTGTGAGGTGTGTGTCTATACATTGTGTCTGCATTCCTAGTCTGAAGTCTCATAACTTTCTGTGAAAAGAGAGGATTTACTTTAAGTAGACTTCTCTCTTACCTCTTTTGTCCTTGGAATAAGAGGCTTTAACATTTTAGTTACTGGAGCATTAGTAGCTTCAAGATTTGTGTGAAGGAGAATCATTTTGCTCTGTGTTAAGTTCAAGAACTAAGTATTTAAGGCTTTCTGTAAGGAATATTGAAAGTGTTTTAGTAAAGCTGGAACAGCTTTCATCACTAGTCTAAGAGGTAACAATTGCTATGGTGTAGAATTTGTAGAATGAATCTCTTACCCAAGAGAACTTGAGAACCTTGAAAACTTTGTTTCTCCATAAACCTTTGTTAAACTCAGGAGGCAAATTCTGATGGATATAAAATACATATGCAAAACAAAAAAAAGAGTAACTTCTTTTGCAGAATATAAATTCTGGGATCTTTTGTCTAATTCATTAGAAGACTAGAATTTGAAACCCAAACTGAGTAAATGTGAACACATGTTACAGCAGTGGGGTGTAGCACATGTATAGATCCCAACCTGAAGCTTCTAAAACAGCAAAGAAAAAGATGGTTCTCTTCATTGGTAGTCTGCTTTCCCCAAGGTTTCCATAATTAGAAAAATACAGAATTTTAACAGACATGTTCCTGATGAGCTTCTGCAAGCTCAATGATCACAGCATGAAGGAATTTCATAGATATTTCTGGTATGATACATATGCACCAGATATGCTTCTTACAAAGGCAGTTCACCCAAGTGGTGCATGCTCAGGCAACTCATCTGGAGGTCTTTGTCTAGTTCTCTCCCAGGAGCTGATAAAGAAATACAGTTGTCACAAAAACAATATTACAGATCCTGGGATCTGATAAAAATCTTTTAGTCACAAAAAAAGTAATGAAAGTCCATTCCATTTTCCTTTGCATCTTCCACGTTCATTTGTATGCCACTCATCCATTTTTTTCGTTGCTTGCTCGAAAATTTCATCTTAGCTAGAATGTTAACTCTCATATTCCTCTATATCTGATTCTTGGTAGGCTTTGAATGGTAGTGACTCTGGAAGCGATTATTAGCCTCTGTTTTGACATGCCTCTCAAAGGAAACTCATGACATTTATGTGTACTGGGCACTTTGTAATTGGTCTAGAATTCTGTATATCTTCTTGCTTGGTTTTTTTATGGATAGGTTTATTTCCATATGGCCTCCTTTTATTGCCCCACTTGTCTTTGTTTGGAACACATGTAAAGGTAAAACTTAATGCATCTATTTCCAGTTACCATACCAAGGCATCCTGCTCTTAAAGCATCACCAGTGGAAGAAGAAGCTGGTAGGCTGATCTGTCTCATGTTGAGGGGCATATGGGTTGCAGAGTCCTTCTGTATTAGTTATTTTGGAAGACTTAAAATGATGTTCAGAACTCCTCCAGATTGCTCTGCCTTGTTCTGGTTGTCGTAATGGAATTTGGCCAGAAGGTCTGCTTGTCCAAAAGGACAAGCTACAAACCTATTCCAACCAGATAATTCCAGGCAGAAATTACTTTAACTGCCTGCAGCAGAAACCATGGAGTTTTTCTCAGCTGATTGTCTTTTTTTTTTCCCTCCAGACACAGGTGCAAGGCCAGCCAGCCTCAAGCAATGCTGCGGTGCCATCCCAGCCTACTCAACACACTCAGCAGGTACGACCACACTTCCTAAACTCAGGACTGAAGTACTCATAATATAGAATTTTGATGACTCTTTTAAGAGCAATTGTCTACCTCTGTCACCATTTGACCCATAGTTTTGCAGCAGAGGAATCCTTTGGTTCTCACTCAGTCGAACATGCTATGAGATACACATTGACTTTCTGAGATTTATTTTAAAAACCATGTTGATACTTGTTTTCCCATGCCTGTCTTCCCCTACTTCCACCTGACCTTGCAGTGGTGGTGCTGTTCAAGGGGGGACATGTCAGTACTTGCAGATTAGACTGTGTAGACAGGCAGACTTCATTCTTGTGATTTCTTCTAACTGGAAATCTGATCTGCAACATTCTCTTCTCTTTACTGCCTTGTTATCCTTTATACAATCTTCATTCTTGGTTTCACAGGTGAAAGTTCTCTTGCAAGATTTGGTGTCAGTAATGGAATCGTATTAGTAATGCTAATATGTAATTGTTAAAGCTTTGGTAGATTCTGAAAAACCACTGATATCACTTAGGAAAGAGTAAAAAGCAGAATTTAAGTAGGATATGCTTTAAAAGTCTCTGCTGGGGGGTAATACAGCTTCTTCCTCTTTTTCCTGCTACAGAGCACACAGCAGCCAGCCTCTTCCCAACAGCCTGGACAATACCAGCTGCAGCAGCCCTCAGTTTCTGCCAGCACCACTCCTGCACAAACTGTCTCTCAAACTCAAACTTCACAGGTCATGCCAATGCCTCAGGCAGCAGCTGGGACACAGGTAAACAAAATTCTTTCTAGCAGAAGATTTTTTTTTCTTCTTCATAGCTGGTAGATTCAATATGCTGCTGCTTTCACTTTTGTCATCTTTCCTAATGGTTTTAAAACATTCATCCAAACAAGAGTATTCTTACTGTATAACTGTCAGTTTTGTTGAAAATGTGTTGGAATCCCTCTTACACGTGGCAGTTGTGAGTAATTTGAGGTTAGGAGAGCACTTTCATGCACGAAGATCTTTCAATTGTCAAAAATATCAGGAAGCATATTAATGAATGGTGTATTGTGAACAGATTTTCAGGAACCTGTAATTTCTCTGTTTCCCATCCACTGTCTATCTTCTGCACCATTACATGTGTAAAACATACTTCTTTAGGTAATGAGCTATAGGACTCCTTTCTTCATTTTGTCATCTTTCTTACTCAGCTCTTCTTCCTGGTCAAGAAGCTTCTGTTACTGATTATTGCTTCATTTTGGCTTATATCTCTGTTGAATGTGTGAGCCGCAATTTTGTTTTTAAAATTGTTTTGTTGCTTGTTCATCTAAGCTGCCTTTCCAGTTGCATCATTTGCTGCCTTTAACTGATGTATTCCCTGCCATTCTCAGAATGCTGGCACAGTGGATTTTAATTCTCCTTTGCTTTAGTCCCCATACTCAAAGCTGACAGATTTGTTGTAGGATTTGCACTTCTTTGCTGTAAGAAGGCAGGCTTGGGTCTGGGGACAGAGTTGAGGAGAATTTAATTATGTTTATGCACAAATCAGTGCTTCAGGGTATTCACATGTTGCTCTTTCACCCTCTGTGGGTGTCTGTTTCAAGAGCCTGTTGAGCTCTTCAAGGGAAGTGTTGCAAAGTGAGAACTGTTTGGAACTCCAGCCAGCTTCCCAGCCACTCTGCCAACTGTGCTCCCCAGCCACTTTAACAGAGTGCTGTAACTTGAATAATGCCTTCTTTGACTAATGTGTAAAACTCTGCTTTCCGCAACCCTGCTTTAAAAAAAAAATCTATCTCTATTTTCTTTACCTCCCCAGCTTCCTGTTTCCCAACCAGTGTCGATCATCCAAGGCGAGCCTCAATTACCTGTTGCAGCATCTTCTCTCCCTCAGCCTTCAGTTAACCCATCAGTCCCCATTGGCTCTCATTTTCTACCCATGGGACAGGCCTTGCCAGCTTCTGTGGTTCCCCAGTTCCCAGTGTCTCAGTTGCCTGTGGCAGCTCCTCATGTGACAGTGGCTCAGCCAGGTTTCCAGTCGCTGCCCATTTCAATGGCAGCTGGCATGAATCAACCACTGCTCACACTGGCCACGTCTGCTGCGGCAGCTGCTGTTCCTGTAGGACCAAGTGTTGTCCCTAGCCAGCTACCCACGCTGATGCAGCCTTTGGCTCAGCTGCCCAGCCAGGTTCTCCCGCAGCTCCTGCAGCCGCCTGTCCAGGCCGTGGGATTGCCAGTCAGCATTGGACAAGCTGCTGAAGCTTCACTTCCTGCTGCAGATGCTCTTTACCAGGTATTGTTGCAAGCCAGCAGACCTCTTCTCCACATTTTTGCCCGTTCCTCTAAGGTACCAGATCTGAGCTGCGTGCCCTGGCCAGCTCACTTCTCACATGAGAGCCATTAAACCACTAGAATAAATTCTTTTGTGCAATAAAGAACCATTTTAACGGGGAGAGAAGAAAAAAAGTCCTTGGACAATCATGGGTTTTGAATTTTTCATATTTGGCATTGGAATTTGTCTAAAATGACAGAATCATAATGCTGTGCTTTGTTCAACCACTGTGTGAGAGAGAACAGCTATATATGCATGAGATCTGTCAGCTTGGGGAAAAAGAAAATAAGAAACGGTAACTTTAAAAATAGGAGATATGTGTTGGAAAGAAAATCAATGGCAGCATATTCAACAATGTCAGTATTTCATTCCAAGTCTGGGAAGGGATAGGATAGGGAATTTGTAGAAATCAGTAAGGCAGCATTGGTCTTGGATGTGACGTAAGTACCTGGTGCTGGTTGTGAACAGTGGACTGGTGGGCACAGACTGCTTCAGCGACTTTATGTGATCACTCACTGTAAAAGTGGTAACCTGAATGATGATTAAAGTGTTCTTGCTTCTGGGTCAGCTCATTACGAGAGGACAGGAAAAACACAAGAGTATTTTTGCTATTTAATCTCAAGAATCAGCAGCAGTTGCATAACATCTGAGCTGTAGTTTTTCAGCCTGAAAATTCTTCAAGCTCATTTCTAATCTCAGGCTTTAAAATCTTAATCTCTATAGGCAGCTGCAAAAGTTGGGAGATGAAGATTCTTTTGCCTAAGACTTGGGACTGTGAGTGGGAATTTGTTTGTTCGGGCTTGGTGACTTATGCTGGCTACATGAGCAGTTTGTTCTGCTTCTTTGGGAAGATTTTGGGAGTGTTTGAACAAGTACAGGAGGTTGGAACATATCCCTGGAACTGCTACTTTTTTTATTACTGTCTTGTTTCTTAATAAGCTCTGCTATTCACTGACTTGATTCCCCCGTTTCTGTTACAGGGCTTCCCATCTCAGCTGACACCGCAATACCCAGCAGACTCCAACGTTGCACCTTCCTCGGCTGTGGCCTCTGCCAGTATTCCTTCTGCTGTGCTGTCCCCTCCCTTGCCCACAGATGCAATGGCCCAGTCAGGGTACCTTGCTCCTGTTGTGCAGCCGTATGGGGAACAGAATGTTATGGTTTCCATGGGCAGCCTGGGAGGACAGGTTCAGGTGCCCCAGCCCCCTGTGAGTTTAGCACAACAGGCCTCATCTGCCTCCTCACAGCAGGCAGTTGTGGAGGTAAATATACATAATATAATGTAACAGTAGATTTTGGATGTTTGACTCCTGCAACAGTGTATCTCTGTGGGGAACTAAGCCCTTCTGTGCTTGTCTTCAGTTGGAAGTTAATATTTCAAATTACCTTTTTCTTGCAGCAGAATGTCATGCCAATGTGGGGACCTTGTTGCCACTGGTTGTTCTGTTGGGAAGTGAGTGTGCATCCTGCAGGCAAAAAGCAGTAAAACACTTCACTTCTTGCTAGTACTGTAGAACATTTTTGCCATTTCAAAGACAAGCTGCAATCAATAGCCTTTGGGAATCTGTCATTATGCCTATTCCCTGCAGCGTGGTTCTTGCAGGGAGAATTGGAATTGTCTACGTGTTCTGCATTGGCTTGCCTTTTGCACATTCTGTTAGTAAAACTGTGACTGCATGGCCAGCTGTAGTGACATGTGGCAGTAGAAAGGATGTGTGGCTGGTTTCCTCTCCTCACCCCTCTTCAGATGACATTGTGCTTCACTGCAGTTTGCTCTAGAGTATTTTGTAAACTAAGGCTATCCTAGATGCCAGCTGTTTAAACTTCTAAAAAGGCAGAGCTTTCAGCTTTACAACTGGTTTGGGAGGAAACACTGAAGACTACTGGGTTGCTTGAAGAAGAACTGTACTCTTTTGGGGGGGGTCTTGACTGTAGGTTTCTATCCATAGGGTACTCAGGGAGTCTCACAGACTGCTGCTTCAGAGACTCTTCCAGCAATGCAGCCTGCTCAGTCTACCCCTTTGGCTTCTTCTATGGATAGGTGAGCACTGCTTCTTTTCACCAAACTGAGTTTCAATGTCATGTGTTAGATTATACTTCCATGGATAATCTTCAGATGTATTTTCTCACCAGGGGTATTTTTTTTTCACTGGGAGTATTCTTGAGGATGTCACTAACTAAAGTTCCTAGAGGAAAAACAGGGTCGTGAAGGGTGGAGTATGTTATGGGGGGTATTTTATGGAGGGAATAAGTAAGGTTGTGTATAGTGATTAACTTTTTTATTTGTCATGTCAAATGGATCATAAGTGATAGGTTTTTTGTCCTTTTGGCACTTAAGCAGAATTCAGACTCTAAACAGCTTGAAGACGTAAGATAGATTTGTACAACTCGGCTTTCAAAAGGCGTAGCAAAATAATTACAGTTAGAATTTCTAATTAAGCAACCCGAAGTGTTGACAGGACTCTTTCTGTAGTCAATGATTAACACACATCTACCACGTCCCAGAACAGAATATCATGTGCTTGGTTTGAAGTATTGTTGCAGTGATGGAATGCATGGAAGCTAACAGGAAGTTGCCTTCTGTTTCTAGTGCACATTCTGATGTTGCTTCAGGATTGAGTGATGGCAATGAGAATGTCCCAACTTCTAGTGGAAGGCACGAAGGGAGAACAACGAAACGTCACATGCGGAGATCTGTCCGCAGCCGCTCTCGCCACGAGAAGACTTCTAGGCCGAAACTGAGAATTCTAAATGTGAGTTTTTTTTATTTTAGGGACAGTTCAGTAGTAATGATGTATTTTTAAGCCTCTACAAGTATTCGGAATACCATCTATGAAGAGCTTTTTGGAGCATTAGATGTGGCAAAACTGACTTGCTAAGCTACCAATGGTTCCACAGACTATTCCAGAATATTCAATGTATCCTCAGACAAAAATCATGCTCTACATATTACCATTTATTAGACTGGAATGAAAGAACATGTTTGTATTATACCAGTACTGTTAGTTTGTCTCGTTGAACTTTAAAATTTCAGCAAACTTAGATTCTTGTGCTTTTGGTTTGAAGTATTATTTTCTTTGCTTTAGGTTTCAAACAAAGGTGATCGGGTAGTGGAATGCCAGCTGGAGACACACAATCGGAAAATGGTTACTTTCAAATTTGATTTGGATGGTGATAACCCTGAGGAAATAGCTACAATTATGGTAAGATATTTTAGAAATGAGGACTCCAATCAGTTGTATTTTTTTGTTTATGGTTTAGAGTTGATCTCCCATGTTGTGTGGTGTATGTTCACCTTATTGGTACAGAACCACAGCTAGGAATTTGGCACAGAGTGGTTTAGCAGTCTGATTATTAATTAATGTTGCACACACAAGTCACATAAAAATTTGTGTCAGTTTTTACCTTAGAATTGAGGTTTTTATCAAGTGAAAGAACTGCTTTTTTGGTTGGTTGGTGTTTTTTTTCAATCTGACATTTTCAAAATTGCAAGCAACCTTCTTGAAGTGCCAGGTTAAAAACATTCCATTTGTTTTTCTAAAAGCAGGCATTGCTAGTTCTTCTTTTTCTTCAAGTGTTTTACCATCATTGTCAATTAAAATGGGAAGATTCTGCCTTTAAATTAAGAAAGGGGAATTGTATTTTGGTTTTTGAAAGTGCATAGTGACTAATGCTGCTCTTGGCTTTTATCAAAAAAAGAAGCTTCTCCATTCAATGTATGATGGCCAGGCGCAGGAAAGAATTTGTCCTAGAGAGATACATCTAAGGAAGAGCATTGAGTAGTATAGAATAGAATCCCCATTTCTTTTTCTTTTTTTTAATTTAAGCTTTTATTTTTGGTCTGGTACAGTCTAAGTGAGCCTGAGATGGTTTTGATGTTACTGGGGCGGGGGGGGGGTGTGCGTGTGTGTGTGTGTGACAAAATCCAGTATCTTTTGACAGCTTTTTGGGCATCTGAGCAATGATTATCTTTTTCTTAGAGAAGTGGCAGAGTCAGAATTGGTGTGTGGTGAATTTCTCCTTGTCAAAAGGAACCAAACCACTGATATGGGAGAAATTCTCTGCCAGTAATGGCTTTCTGAGAAAGAGTAAGAAGGTGCTTCTTACCTAACTACATATATTAGCACAGTCAATAACATGAGGTCGTATGCCAGGAAATAAGGAGAGTACACAGATGTCTTTTTTCACCTTAAACCTAAAGTGATCCTATGAAGAAATAAGAATATGTTTGATTTATGAAAACTAAACAAGCAAAACCAAAACTAAGACACAAACACTCTCCAAGCAACAAAAGGCACAAATATTTGAAGATTAGTAGAAACAAAATAAGTGAACTTTGCATCCAAAATGCAGTCACACAGTTAAAAGTATGCAACCTAATTTAAACATCTGAATCTGGAACATTGTGCTCATTGGCTCCTTGTTGAATATTGAGCGAACTTTAAATTGAATATGTTTCATTTTAATCATGATACTGTTAGGCATACCCCATATAGTTGCCTGTTGGTCCTAAACTGAAGGTACTGAAGATTTTTTTAACTAGTATTCTGCATTGCAGAGGCCAATACAAGCACATCATGCCTGACTTTCCTTTTCTTGAACCAGCATCCCAGGAATTTGATGTAAAAGCAGTGTCTCAAGCTTTTCCTCTAATGCACTTTATTTCTCTTTTCCAGCAGAGACTCTTTGACTGACAGCTTTACTTCTGTTTCATGGACTGTCTCTGAGTTTTTCCATGCATCATTTCAGGAGACAGAATACTCTCATGGGTTAAACCAAATCAATAATATGATTTGGTCTTTCTAACCACCAAGTGTACTTGCTTAAACCAGTTTTATCCAACATAAGCAAGAGAAGTTATTTTCATAAAACAATACAATGTATTGGAGCTAGACAGGCTGAGCAACCTTTCTCTCCCTCTATTTGGAAAATAATTTATACTGGCTTTTATGTACCACAGCCAGACTTTAAATCAGTGATGTGCTAACTGCATAGAGGAGAATTTGTATATGACATGGAAAGAGAGAAACACAGAAGACATCTTGCAATACAGAATTTTCAATTTCTTTTATATTATAGTTCTCTTTAAATGTGTCTCTTAAAGCACATTGCATTCATTAGACAGAAGGAATTGCAGTAAGATAAGACTGCTAATTTTCAATTTCCCTGTGCTAAGCAAAGATTGAGATGACAGTTGATGAAGAAGTGAGATTGAATATTGCTCCACAACAAAGATTAAACCAGGGCACACACTTCTGTGTTGGGAGATCATTTGAGAAACAATTCTTTTTCTCTACGGTGTCATCACTTTAATCTTATTCAGAAGAGCAGCAAAGGGAAGACAAGCATCAGCACCAAGAGTAAATTGTGGTTATTCAATATCTTGTTTTGAAATTGTTTGTGTAAAATGAATGTTGCTTTGTTCTTTTACAGGTGCAGAATGAGTTTATTTTAGCAACAGAGCGAGACTCATTTGTAGAACAGGTACGAGAGATTATTGAGAAAGCAGATGAAATGCTAAGTGAGGATGCAAGTGTGGAGCCAGAAGGGGATCAGGGGTTGGAGAGTATGCAGACAAAAGATGACGGCTTCTTCCCGGAGTCACAGGTATGTGAAGGACAGACTGCCTCAGCTGTTGGTATCTTCCATTTTGGGTGGTATGGTTTTGTGAGTAGAGCTAGCTAGAAATAGAAACTTCCTGTCATGGGAGATATCAAAGATCAATAATTAAAAGACAAAAAGAGAAAGCTTCATATCAGTGAGTGCTTAAAATTAAGTTAGAAAGCTAAATAACAGACCTCTTACTTTTTGATGTGTTTGAAGACTTCCGAAGCTGCTGAATCTCCTAACAGTCCACTAAACAGACAGTCTTAAATGCTGATGCTTCTTGAATTTGAGATTATTGTGAGGTAGGACAGTAAAACCTCAACCCTGTGCTGCTCACTAAACACTGAGAGCCTGGTGTCAGGCCCTCCACCCAGTGAAGTAGTAAGAGATTGGATAGCTCCGTTAGGAAACACAGGTTTTGAAACTGTTTGCTGGGTGCTGAAAGTGGTGACATTTCCTGAATCTCTGCCTTAATTACACTCAGAACTAGTTTGGAACATCCATTTATTTGTTGGATGTTTAAGGAAATCAGTTGGATTTCCAAAAGAATTTTTAGATCAGTTTGTTACATTGACAGTCACTAAGCTGAGAGTTTCTAAAAACACTGTAGCTGACATTTATCTGGGCAGAATTCCTCTAGTTTGGTGATGGTGCTTGGGTCCCACATACTGCTTCCCTTAAATGCCCACATTTCAGTAAGCTAGCATTTTAAGAAGTATCTTGTGGGTTTCTGTTTCAGAATAGAAGTTTAAATTTTATCTTACTTTACAGAAATTAGAGTTCAAACAGCCAGATCCTACATCTTCCATGCCACAAAGAATAGGTAAGTCTCTTGTGATTTTTTTCGACAGTTACCTTTTTCTGTTTCAGCGGATGGGTGCAGCCAAGTTTTTTATTTTGTATGATGGAGTGCACATTCCATATTGCAGGTTATGTATTTAGTTGCAGCCCTGTGTCACTAAAGATCCATCTTCTTTTTGTTTAGGGGTTCCCTCTAGCTCCTTTACCCAGGTTGTCCATTCTGCTGGAAGACGGTTCATTGTCAGCCCCGTCCCTGAGAACCGATTGAAAGAACAGAGCCTTTTCACATCTGCTGTTGCTGGAGGAAACAAAACTTCAGATATGGGTGAGTTGTCAAAACTCTTAAAAGCTGATGTCTAAGACATGTTCATCAAAACTGTGAAGTTAGTTAACTAAACTGTTCCTGAAGACCTCTCAAAGTATGTGGAGAAGTAGGGAACTGTCTGTGCTGAAAGGGGGTGACCATATTTTGGGTCATACCATGCAGGATTCTTGGAGTAAAACTGCTGATGAGCTGTCTGCAAGACTCTGAAATCTTAATTCTGTGTTTTAACATAAGTCTGGATTTGTATGTTTTGTTGTTTTGCTGTGGATTTTTTTGTTTGGTTTGTTGTGTTGTTTTTTTTTTAATGCTAAGAAGTAAATGTGGTCTTAGTCTAGCCATAGACAATAATTCTGTAATGAACTTTTTTAGGTGGACTGATAATTTTATTTTCTGCCAGTTGCAGCATCTCCTGTACATGGTCCTGGAATGAATCTCTCCCACTCAGCATCATCACTGAGCTTGCAGCAAGCTTTCTCTGAGATGGGGCATGCCCAGATGACAGAAGGACCTAGCACAGCTCCTCCAGTGTTCAATCAAACAATACCACCATTTCCACCTGCACTTTCTACCATGGCAGGCAGTGGTGCAACTCCTGCATCTGTGGCTACTTCTTCAGTATCTGTTTCCTCCAGCACTGGTGTTTCTCTTCTGGGATCTGTTACTTTGCCTTCAGAAAATGCAGCTGTTGGAGTTGCACCAAGCACAAGTGTGCCAAGCTCTATTTCTCCACCTCCAGCCTCACAATCTGGACAGCAATCGACCGGTGTCTCTTCCAGCATGAGCGCCCCTGCTTCTTTCTCCTTATCTGCCACATCCCAGCCTGCTCAACCAGTGACTGCAGACATTGCTCCCAGTATCAGCACACCATCATCTTCAGCACTGCCATCTGCCCAGGTTCCTGGTGTCACTGCTCTCGGTGTTGCTGCACCAGCTGTGACACCTCAGTCTACTCCTCAGATTGTGAGTAGTATGGCAGCACCACAGACGTCTGTTGCCCTGTCTCTGGCTCAGAACATGGCTTTGCAGCTTCCCCAGCTCAGCAGCAGTGGCTCTGTGTCCAGTCTGGCAGAAACAACAGTTGTAAGCGCTCCACAGTCACTACCTGAGAGTGGGCACTCTCTGGATAAGTCGCATTCCTGCAATGCAGCTGGCTTATCTCTGCCAATCTCTGCACCTTTATCATCCTCGATAGCATCAAGCATATGTGGTTCAGTCTCTCAACCGGTGATCCATCCCTTACTTGTTCCATCAGGAATTACATCAACACCTGTCCTACCCCAGATTTCAGGTGCAACACCCATGTTGCCCCAGGTTCCTTTACCTGGTGTCTTGCCACAACCAGTCACTAACTTGCCTACAGTACAGCAGACCTTGATCCACAGCCAGCCTCAACCAGCTCCATTGCCCAACCAGCCTCATGTTCACTGTCTGGAGGCTGATGCTGATGCTCAGTCTAAAGCCCCTGGTATTGATGATATAAAGACCCTGGAAGAAAAGCTGCGATCTCTCTTCAGTGAGCACAGTAATGTAGGAGCGGCACATCCATCAGTGTCTCTGGAGACCTCGCTGGTAATGGAAACCACAGTTGTTCCTGGCATCCCAACCACTGCTGTTGCACCAAGCAAACCCCTGACATCCATTAGCACTTGTATACCTCCGAGCAGTTTGCCTCTTGGACCAACTGGCTTGCCAGTGCTGACTCCAGTTGCCACTCCTGGGCAAGTGATCACCCCAGTCAGCTACATCTCGGCCTCCAGCAGCATCGCCACAGCAGCAGTGAAACCAGGGACCTCTCCTTCAAAGCCCCCTCTCAGCAGGGTACCGGTAAGAAACGCAGCGTTGGTGTAAACCTTCAGCTCTTGCAGCAAACAGCTTTCTTGGGCGGGATCCTTTTTGTATAGCAAAATATTTATTCTGGAAGTGGCTTCTTCATTTAATGTAGTATTGAAAGGTTTATGCTCTCGTTGGTTTTATGTATCCCAAGAAGTGTCCTATTTTGTCCCTAATGGGCAAAAAAAGTCCAATTCTGTTTTATGCTTCTGAGAGATGTCTCTTATGTCATTGTTAGTTTTTTCTTCTTAAACTACAAAGAATGAAGCAACTGTGGTTTGCTTTTTGTTTGTTTGGGGTTTTTTCTTGATCCTGATTTTTTCAAATAGAATTTGGATGTCTTGCTTTAAATAGCTTTTTATCTTGTACTTGACCACTAGGCTGAGATGGTTGGTTTTATATTTCACCAAGTGGTGGATTTGAGATAGCAGAATTTTGCTTCCTGTTGTGAACCTGTTCCTTGCAGTCAAGGGTGAACCTGACTGAAGGGATTTGGGGTTTTTTATGTTCTGTGCTACTTATTTGATACCCAGATACTGTTTTCCTTTCAAATGTTAGATTTATGAGAGCAGGATTTTGAGAAATTTAGAACATACCTGAAAACAAACTATTTTTTTGTTTGTTTACTGACTCATGTTCTACAACCAAAACACTTTCACAAAGAAGTAATGACTCACAGTAACAACTTGAGAGGTGCTGTGGATGTTGTTACCTGCTCACCAACCAGATACACCAATATGCGAGATTTTCTTTTAAATGTCTGCCTGTGTGGGGACACAGCACACTTCAGTATTTTAAACTATTTTGGTAGTCCTTTCCTTAAATGGAAATGTAGCTCTTAAATGGAAATAAATTGAAGAAACTTTCAGGTATTTAACAATCCAAAAACTATAATACTCTCTTCTTTTTCTTTCTGGTATTTTTTTTTTTTTTACTCGTCAACACTTTGTGTTGGTTGTCTTTAGCCAGCCTTGCTATTGACTAGTTTCAGTCCAATTTAGGCTGAGCCAATGCTCCCAGCAGCTCCATTCATTGGTAGTCTTTCCCATCTACTCTTTGTTGTCAAAGACAGTAGAAAATCTCTGCTATGGAAGAGTGGCAATATGTGCTAAAAAAGTTGATAGGGAAATCCAGACACAAAGACATCCATTAATATTTCAATGAATTTGAAAATTAGACAAGAAATATTGGGGGAAAATGGTAACTGGTATTCATTCAGGAACAGTTGTAGCAGTTAGAAAATTGCCAATTGCAAACACTTGGGTTTAAATATATATATTATATATATATATGTTATATATGTTATATATAACATATAAATATATATACATGTAATAAATGTTACAGCGTTTTTGATTGTCAGTTGTAGAAATCCCACCTCTTTGAAGTTTTCATTTATAAATTAGTTTGGTTTTTTCACAAGGCTTAATTTTAGTTTCACTTTGTGTTGTTGCTGAGCATTAAGGAGCTTATTACTTCAGTCTTCTGGGGTTTGCTAGAGTCTGTATCTGTGTATTCATTTTGTTTATGGCCAGACAATTAAATGTGTTTCAGCTTATCTTACAAATGTATTTAAAGTATGTTTTGCCTCTTATTTATAAACTAAATGAACTTAAAAATTCAGCACAGCTTAAAAATTCATCATGTCTCACATGTAACAGGTAACATCCTCACATGTGTTCCTGCTGCACAAAAAAAAGTTGAGCTAATGCAACTTGGCCTAATTCTCACTGAAATGTTATTGACTTATTGGCAGGATAGATAACTCTGGGAGAGCATCTTCACTGGGCAGCTACTCCTGCAATTTAAAGCATTAGTTTGAGCTGTGGTAACAAACTGCTGGCCAGAACTGGTTCTGGAGCAGACTGTGGCCTGTCTCCCTGGCCTGCAGAGCTCATGGCCAATGCAGGGGCACTGTGCTGGCCAGTGCTGTAACTCACAAGGCTCTATGTGTGCTCAGACTTCATGGGCACTGTCAAACCTCAAGATGACAGCTGAGAATAAGAACTGCAAATTGTGTAGTGGGTTGCTTAATTCCTAGAAATTCCCACTTCCCTAACAATGGAAATTACTAACTGGAATGTGCTGTCTGACCTGGTGAGGAGGCTTTGATGCCTCCTTCTAACCTTTTGAGTCTCTCTAACCTCCTCTGCATAACCTGGATGACTTCCCCCTACCCAGTTGCATGGCCTAATCAACTTCTGTGGGTCATCAACACCTTTCAGGCTCAAAAAGAAGTGATGGATGAAAATATTGATGTGAGAGCTCTACGAATCTGTTTCTCAACAAGTGGAGACATACTCAGGCACCAGGCACTGACAGTTCCTGTTCTCAAGTCATGTTGCTTGGAACAATTTGTTGGAAGCATGCAGCTTGGAGTTTCTAATGGACAGTTAACATAGAGCTGTTGTAAGGAGACTGAGTACATTCTTGCACCATTTTAGAAATTAAGCTTCTTGGAAGAATAATTTTAACATTTCTTCCAGACTTGAAAATAATATCCCCAAGATACTTTGTTCCTGGATACTGCAGCTTGTTTAAACTGGAAATTGTGGCTGCTCAAGGATAATCTGGATTATAAAATAAAAACTAAGCAAACTTCCCCCAATTTGGTTGCAGAAGTCCCTGAAGACTCTATGCTAACTGTCCAGGAAGGAATTCTCTGCCAAAAAAAAAAGTTAAGGCTTCTGTTGTATGACATGACTGACTGTAGCTTGGTATCTGATCCTTCTGTTGTTCCATGTCTGACGGACGCGCGTTTCCTCTCCGTTATCCCTAGGTGCTACCAATAGGTTCTGACCTTCCGGCTGGCACTCCATCCAGTGAGCAGCTGCCACCTTTTCCTGGACCTTCACTAACTCAGGTGCTACACAACATGGCAGATTGTATCTGCTTCTTTTCCCTTCAGAGAGCATGTTTCAGTTAAACTCTCTGTTGCATGTTATTAATGTTCTTGGTTTTCTTTTCTTTTACCTGAGTAACCCCTTTTGTGTAACTGTAGCAGTAGCCTGAGTGGCTTTAGCACTGGGTGTGAGTGACCTGGTCTAGTGGAGGTGTCCCTGCCCATGGCAGGGCGTTGGAACTGGATGATCTTTAAAGTCCGTTCCAACCCAAACCATTCTGTGATTCTGTACAGCTTGCCCTTCAGGGTGCTGTACCCAGTGCCTAATCAGGCTTAGGAGTTTTAGTGTGTTAATCTGAACTGATATTTTTTTTTAATATAACAGAGTGGAGTGTGTGCATAAAACTTGAACCTGTTTTCTTCTTGAAAAAAGTATAGCTGCAAAATAATATGAAAAACTATATATTGCCATGAAATGTTTATGAAAATGTAAAATTGTCTTTCTGAATTCTTCATGAGGTTTTGGGGTTTAGTTGTTTCTTTTGATGACTGCTTTTTGTCTTGTGTTGTCTTTGTGGGTTTGGTTTTTTTGTTTTTGTTTTGTTTATTTTGTGATTATTACTGCATTCTGATTTCATTAGGCTTTAAAATTTTCAAAAGGTGTTTGAAGTTCTTTATCATAAACATGATTTGAAATACAGCAGTGGCTTCCCCTGCTTAGCTTCTGTCCTTGTATACAATGGTTAGCTGGGATATTTTGTGTGTAAATGGTGCTAAGCAATAGAACAAGAGGCCCTGAGCAGAAACTGATGCACAGAAGTTCCACCTGAACATGAGGAAGAAATTTTCCTGTGCAGGTGACCAAGCACTGGAACAGACTGTCCAGAGAGGGTGTGGAGTCTCCTTTTTTGGAGATAGCCAGGAACCAGCTGGATGCAGTGTTGTCATGTTCTCTGGGATGGCCCTGCTCGAGCAGGGATGTGGGAGTAGATGACCCACTGTGGTCCCTTTCAGCCTGACCCAGTCTGTGATTCTGTGTGACTTGTACAAGTAAGGCAGATGACATCTGAAGTTGGAAGAAAAAAAGCTTATTCAACTGAAATATTTTCTTAAAGTAGCTCATTTTTACATCTTGATCTTAGAGCCATAAAGCCATATGCCTGCCTTATGAGTAGCGAGAGAATTGGTATCTTCTTTCTCCAAACTGAGCAAGAAAAAGCCACTTGTTTTTACCCCTGATTTCAGAGGCAGAAGTTGGTTTATCTCTTTTAGTCAGTTCTTTCTGAAGCATGTTTTTACTGAAGAGAAGGTGACAACAATTCATTGATAATTCTTACCTGCATTCTTCCTATGGTCAGGTATCAGGTGGATCAGGAGACAGCTAGTTAAAATCAGTCATATGAAGGTCATAGTCCTCTTCATTGCTGGAAACTCAGTATATTAGTAGTATTTTCCCCTAAGCTCAAAAGCACTTGTACCCACTTCTATGACTCAAGCCACGGTACCACTGCAAAAGGCTGCTTCCTGTTTGTCATAGGTATTTCTGGCAAGATTTGTAGCATGGAAGAGTCACAAATATAGATCCCTTGCTTCTTGTCCTTTCCAAACAACTTACTGAATTTTACTTCTTATTTGAACTCAGAAGAATTGTCTAGGAATGAAACAAAATTGGAGGGGACCAGCTGGATCAAATCCAATTGACTCTTAAAAGCATTTGCTGCTATCACATAATACTATCTGGAAAATTACTGGCTTCTCTTAAAGTAGACAGGCTTGCCTTCTGTGCTGCTTCTGTCACTAGCAGGTGATTACACAACTTTTTCCCTTCCCTTAGTAGCAGACTTATAATTTGCAGACAGAGTACACATCATCTCAAGACCAGTTTTGGACACTCTGTCCTATAGTCTTAAATACCTGTTCTATTTATTCCTTAATTACTTTTTAAAGTGTGTGTAGGTTAATCTCTCAAGCTTCATTTTGGTCCCCTAATTCCATAAGGAAATCTTTATTTCCTGATCATTCTGGTAGCGATTTGTTTACTTGAAGCAAATATCTTCTTGTGAGCATAAGTGTTGAGAATTATTTAGTATTTCAGGTGACATGCCCCCTCTGTTTTACAGTGTTGGATTAAATTACCTCACTTGTCGCTAAACAGTTGGATTTCTGAATGGAGTCATAGAAGTCTGCACCTTCTGCTTTTTTTTTTTATATATAATGGAATTGATCAAGGCTTTATTATTCCTAGGGTTTCTGGTTTTGTTTTGAAATCCACATGTCAGGAAGACCGTTATCCTGGCAACATGTTGAAAGCGCCTTTATGCTGTTGTGTACCTCTTAACTTTCAGTGGAAAGTAGTATTTTTATGTTGTCATGATCCCTGCTTCAGTTTTAAAAACAGATACAACTTTTTCTTTTTTGTGTAATATACTTGGAAAGATTAACAATGCTAAAGTTTGGATGAAAATTTCTGTTCTTTAGGGTCAGAATTGCAACTTAATGGTATCTGACAGTACATTCTTCTTTCGATGTATCTTACGGGCATGGCCCTAATTTAGTAATTTTGAGACTTTGGGATTTTGTTATCTTCAAGATATTTTTAGGTAAAATATTCTTCTCTTCCTCTCCCCAATCCAAGTGGCCAAGTTTGAAAAAAATCTTGTATTCTAACTGAAACAGCTGAAATCTAAGTAATAAGCATATTTGAGAGATTCTGCCCCTCTTTGCCCTCTTCAGGTCAATCCATCTATACAGCCTCTCTGAGGGAACTTGTGGGTTGGGGGTTTTTTCTTGGGTGTTTTTGGGGTTTTTTTTGGGTTTTTTTTTTTTTTTTTGAGTGGTATTGTGGAGTTTTTGGGGTTTTTTTTTTAATTCCAGTTAATTTTCCTGTTTTGTTGTTTTTAAACAAATATGTTGCATGAGTTACTTCCATAGTCTTACTATGATATACATGTTAAATCTAAATGTGTATGAAGGAAACTGGATAGAAACATGGAAACTATACTGAGTGCTTTAAATTTTAGTATCATATATGCCTGTTTCTTAGCAATGCTTTTGTTTTTCCTGAGCTGGGACATCGCTTTACTCTTTTCTTTCTCAGTCCCAACAGCCACTGGAAGATCTGGATGCTCAGCTGAGAAGAACCCTTAGTCCAGAGACTGTCCCAGTGACATCTGCTCCTGCCTGTGTATGTTTGCAATGTTCTCAGTTTAGTAGTCTTGAAAAACCTCAGTGTTTTTTCTTAGGTCACTGCCTTTAATATCACTACACCAGTATTTAAACTTAAAAATTCAGTGTCATCTTCCAGTTTGTGGGACTGAGTCAACCAAAATCAGGAAAGTCTGTATATTGCAATAGATTATGTAATTTCCTGAGGCTATTTTTTGGTATTAGTTGTTATTCTGACTTTTCTGGTGATGTCACCAAACTAGAAATGGAAGTAACTGTGGAATAAGGGGAAAGAGCACTAAGAAAGCAATATGTGATATGTCAGTCTTAATTTGGGAGAGCTGTTTCAAGTGTGGATCTGAAATTTTAAAAGCCTCTATTAAGGAGCTTTAGATACTGAATGAAGACAATGACTGACAATACAAGTGGCTATTTATGCATTGTTTCTGCACAGGCCAAGGGGTGATCTGCTCACAGCTTCAGGGTTATAAGGCCTGTAAAATCTCACCTTGCATTTGTCTTTTCGTGGGTCATACTTTGTCCCTGTTGGAAACAAAAAACTTATGAAATATGCAGTATGATAGATTTGTTGGCATTCAATGAAACTCCTAAGTATTTTAATTTATTTTGTTTTCCCCTTTGAACCTGCAGTCTGTGCCCTCAGTAGCATCGACAGTGGTTACTGGGCCGGTGTCCACAGAAACACAGTGTCTGACGGATGGTAAGACAGCCATGATTACTTTAGGTGATTTCTCAGCATGGAGATAGAAATCAAAATTGAACAGAGTAACCACTTGGAAGGTTATAGCCTTTTCTAGTAAGTCATGGAATGGCAGCTCCTTGAGGGCTTCTCTTCTACTTTTTAGTAGCCAGACTGAAGTTTTCCTCTGTAGGCCATGAAGGAGGGGGGATGATAGATACTTTCCTATTGTAGTGACTCATTTAGGATTTAGACCTGTCCAAAATGCTAAATTAAGACTCATAAAGAGTCTCCACTATGCTGCTAAGGTACAGCAGGAGTACAGTACTTGAAGGAACTGTTTTCTATCATGTGTTATGTTCCTGGCAACAGCAGTAAGGACTCATTTTGTGTCATTACAGTGTGTTCTACATGTAGGATACCTCTCCCTTACCTAAGGGTGTTTCATTTCTGTTTGAACAGAGAAGCCAAGGTTAAACTACTAAAAATTTAAGAAAGGCAGTAGGAAACCCAGACTTCCTTCTTTCTGCTCTAGAACAACTGAAGATTTACTGGATGATCACCAGTTAAAATCTGGATGATCAATGACTTTCAGATCTGTATGGATTGAGTTACTGGGGGGAAATCCAAACACCTGCAAAATAATCTGAGATTTTCCTATCAGTGTTCATCTAATTGTTTTAATTTTTGAAATCTTCTGTTTTTAAAAGGAGCTGTTAATACAGTGCTGAAATTTTTTCTTGAGCTGTCTTGTAAACACTATTTAACATGTGTGCCCCTGAAGTTTAATAACAAACCTTCAGAAGCCAATAAAACTGTGAAGGAAAATAAATTACATACTCTTATTTTGGGACATTCACGAACTATAATGTAGAATTCATTAGTCCACTATAGAATTTATTGTGTTTTGTCTTTTAAATTTAGAAGGTAAAGATAAATAAACTGGGAAGTTGTTTAATAAACAGAGCAAGCTGTCCAATAGAATTGATTTAAAAATAGAATGTTATTTCTCAGCTTTGTAACTTTATACTGCCAGTGTACAGAGCAACAAAATTAGGAGCTGACACCTAAGAGTCCAACTTGGGGAACTTCAGATAGACTGCTTTGAGTAAATGTGATTTATAGCATTTCTTCAACTTGCCCTTTTTCGGTGAATAAGTTGTCCCCAGTGTTTGGGAAATTTAGGTAGTCACTCTGCTTATTGAATCAAGATAAGCTTTTTCTTTCATAAAGTTCTATTTTTTTCTTATTTGTCTATTTCACATCTCTGTTAGAAATCAGTGTGCTTTTTTTTACTGTTATCTAAAAGTGTAGTTTTGGCAAATACACTGTGCAGGGAAGCTTTGTAGAAAAATGCTTCAACTTAACATTAATAATTAACATTTTAATATTAATATAGTGCTATGAGTCTAGAAACCTTTTTGGAGTCAACAGATAGTTGAATTTGAAGTACATAAAAAGAAATGGTTGGAGTTCAAATAATTTCTTGCTCATTGTTGTCTTAATCCCATTCTCCTTTTCCTTAGTTTTGGCAGCACGTGATGGAGAGAGCAGTGCTGTGGCTGCCACAACAGGAGCCAGCGTGCTGAAGATGGGACGGTTTCAGGTACCAGATGTTAAACTCACTTGGCTCTTGCTGCAGCATCTTTGGGTGGTTCCTGGTAGTGCCAGCTCAGTGTGCCATGTGCAGGACTTTGCTGTCCATGCAGAGCTTGTGCAAGCAGGTCTGCAGATGCCGTTCCCATTCAAGGCAGGGATTGCACAGTCTGTGCAGGTCTAGAGTGACGAATATAGAGTTTCATCGCAGCAGGCCTTAGTGTTGGCCTTGCTCTTTAATGCTGGGCTGCTCTTATACTAACAGTGCTGGGATGTTCACTGTATTATGTCCTGTTGGTGAAAGAGGCCCCATCTGAGGCTGCTGCTTCTTGGACTTAATCCTCCAGATTACAAGAAGTGCTGCTTTGTGTGGCAGTGTTTTGCTTGGAGGGAAGCAGCAGCTTGCTTTGTGGCATACCTAGGAAGTGAGTTATTTTCCCCTCTCAGATGCATCTTACCATTAAGGGAAATAAAAGCATCATGTTAAGGAAAAACTAAGGAAGTCTGCATGATTGTATTTCTATTACAGGTATCGGTGGCAGTGGATGATGTGCTAAAAGAGGATGACAAACCTGAAACGAAGCCAGTGCAATTTGAAACCACCTCCACCGATACTTCAAGCCTTTCTGGCAGCAGCCCAGAGAGCACGCTGGTAAAGCAGGCTGAGAGCCGGAAGAGCGGAGCTGTGGCTGCCACCTCCTTGGATGTGGTGGATGGCATTCCTGAGGCAGCTGCCGGGCCGCCGCTGCTGGGAGCTGCTTCCCAGGCCACCAAGGTTGGGCGCTTCCAGGTGACGACAACGACGGATCAAGTGGGGCGCTTCTCTGTGTCCAAGGCTCGGGATGAGGTCAGCTGTGCTGAGAAGGAGCCGATGACTCTTCCTCTCTCTGTGGGCTTGGAACAAGTTGCTTCTTCAGCTGCATCTCCAAAGAAAGAATTGGAGTCAAGGCAGTCCCCACACATGAATGGCCCATCCTCTGATCCAGAGGTCGCTTTTCTCAGTGGAATGGCTAAGGATTTGGATGATGGCTCAGGGAGCCCAGACTCTGTCCAACACCTGGGATCGAAGATCAGCCTCCCCGTTCAGAGCCTTAGCAACTCTTTCAACTCTTCCTACATGAGCAGTGACAATGAGTCAGATATTGAAGATGAAGACTTGAAGTTGGAACTCCGTCGGTTGCGGGAGAAGTAAGGCTTCTTCTTTGGGTGGTTGTGTATGGAATAGATGTAACAGGATTAACATGATTTCACCTTAGCCTTTGCCAAGTGTCAGGAGCCATTGTCAGCATGTATGTGGGATATAATGTTCTTTAGTGGGAAAGCAGTACACAATTATAACAAAAGAGGAATATACATGTTTGCTGGGCTGAATTTTCTAACCTGTAACCTTGTTGTATGTAGATTGCCAGTTGCACTGTGGATAGGACTGTAGATCTAAGAAAGATTTGGCATATCGCTGGAGTTAGTGGGGAAAACGTAGGGTTTGAAAATTACACACAAGTCTCTGCATTTCTGATCTGCATTTCTGATGGTTCTTTTCCTGAAGAGACCTTGCTGGCTCAGAAGAAGAATTTAGAAGTGAAGCAATGTGACCTACTAATTTATTTATATGGAAAGTTGAACTATTTTTTAAGGTAGCTGGCAGTTTTAAATCCTGTGTATGCAACTGCTCTGAAACAAATTGTAAGGCAATAGTTGTGTAGAAGTCTCCAAGGCCATATGTCTGAGAAAATGAGTAATCTAGCTATTCCTGTAGCATTTGAATGCATTTTTTGTACTTCTGTTTATTCTGGTTTTGTGAGTGCAATGTTGGGAACTTAATTTTGGAATTCTAGCCAGGGCTAGAGCACACTGGAAAATGACAAGTGTTCTGCCATGTGTGTTCAGTGGTTATTATTTAGTGGAAAAGATTTATTTACTTCTTTCTTAAATGTTTGAGAGTTTGACCAAAGGAGCAGCTCAGGCTTGACTGGAGGGGAGGAATTGTTTGCATCTGTGTGTATACATAGAATTCTTGTAAATCTCACTGTTTTGTAACTTGTTAGGCACCTTAAAGAGATCCAGGAGCTGCAGAGCCGCCAGAAGCAGGAGATTGAGTCACTCTACGTGAAACTGGGAAAGGCTCCACCTGCAGTAATTATTCCCCCAGCTGCACCCCTTTCAGGAAGGAGGAGACGACCTACGAAAGGAAAAGGCAGCAAGTCCAGTCGTAGCAGCTCCCAGGGACATAAAAGCCCTCAGCTGTCAGGTTAGGCTTCCTCCAATATTTCTAGCAGATAAAATAAACCAAGTACCATCTCTCATTCTTAGATCTGTGTCTCTGTCTTTTCTTTTGAGAAGAGTGTGTGTGTGTACCAGTTCCTCCCTGGATTTCTTTTATCATTTTTGAAATTACTTTTGCCGTTTGGTAGTCTTGCCTGGGACTTTTTCAGTCCACTGAAAGGTACTGTGACATTGTTCTGTAAGAGCAGTTGTGATTTGTGTTTATTAGATAGTGATTTTTAGATTGTGACTGGGCTATGACTGTGAAGAAAAGTGTAAATTTACAGTATGGCAGAAAAGTTTGTTTTTTAAAGATAAACTGTGCTTGTTCCCTCCTGAAACTGATATTGCAGAATGGGTCTGATCTCTTTAGTCCTCTGCAGAGACTTTTTTTTCTAATTTAGTACCACTTAAGCATGATATTACTAGTGTCCTTACGCTGCAGAAACTCACAGTTGATAGATATTAAAACAGTGGCTTTTTTACATGGAATTGAAGATTTGTTGTACTTAAAAACTGAGAATCAGTTTCAATTGTCGAGGCTTCCTTTTTTACCAAGACCGCTTTTCTAATAAACAGAACTCAGGAACTAGTTCTGTTTACTGATTGAGTAATGTGGGTGACAGATACTGTCTGGGTAATTGGAGATTCTCTAATTCTGTAGCAGAAGCAAACAGTATTGGAGGGCCAGCAGTGCCAGCAGAAATATTTGATACTGCTTCTTGCGTATTAACTTCGTTAATTCCATGTCATGCTGAGATTTCTGTACCCACTCACCCTGGCTGCTCATTTCTGTTTTGCTGTGTGATGGAGGAGCTCTGTGGGCACATAAACCACCACAGAGTTGTCTTAAAACTGAGGAATTTTTCTGGCCTGACTGCTTTCTTAGAAACTCGAGTAGCTCTCTCCCCCTGCCTCTCCTTCTCTTGCCTGGATTGTCATGCTTGATGAGGTTCAAAAATATATGGAAACCAAAAATTTTGCCTTCCTTTTTCCTCTAGGCAACCTGTCAGCTCAAAGTGCACCATCAGTCTTGCCCCCTCAGCAGACCCTTCATCCTCCTGGTAGTGTGCCAGAGACTGGGCAGAACCATTTGTTACAGCCCCTCAAACCTTCACCTTCCAGTGAAAATCTCTACTCTGCCTTCACCAGTGATGGTGCCCTCTCGGTACCGAGCCTTTCGGCACCAGGCCAAGGTAAGGCTCCAAGTGCAATTAGTGAAATTTGCAGTGGAAATGAATGGTTGACTTCATGACACTTGATTTTTTAATACTTGGTGTAAAGTAGCTCTAGGGTCCCCAGCTTATGTGTGGAGGCTGATAAGGATGGTGTTTGCAAATGGATTTGTAGCTTCTCACTCAGGTGAAATGTGAGGTGGTTGAAGGTCTGAAACTCCAAGGACAACACAAGAGAGTGCAATGGGGTGGTGGCAGCAAAGTTCTACTGACCTGGGAAAGGTGTTGGCTCAGAGGAGAAGAGACTGATGAGACGGGGGTTGAAAATCAGACCAAGGAAGGAGCAGAATAGGTTTGATGTTGATAGCTAACTCAGATGGTTGGAAGTTTCCAAGGACTTAGAGTCTTAGTCCTTTTGGACTTCCTAGGTGTTTTGGCTGTTTCTGTCAATGGAGTTTTTAAGAGCAAAAGGTAAAAAAAGGCTCATGTTCTTTAATTGTGAATTATCCTGGAAGGGAGAGTCAGTGTAGGAGGATGAAATGGTGGAAGTAGTAAATTGGTCATGTACTCAGGTTTCTCACGTTGTGGGTTACTTGTTATTAGTATGTTATCAAATAATTTCTCAGGCACAGCTCTGATTTACTCAGTAAAGAGGGCTTTTTTTGCTTATCATTAGGGGATGATTCCTTTACTTATCTGAACTTAGCTGTTGTAGGTGTTTTCCCCTTTGCACATCTTTTTGAAAAGCTTTGCCATAGATAGTATGAATACATCAATTCTAATGTGTGTTTTTTCTGAAACTGAAGAAGTGCATACAGAAAATATAAATGGACTTTAAGGAAGATTTTTCTATAGAGATTTTTTTAGGAACTGTTTCAGGCATTTTGGAGCTTCTTGAATCATCTCCCTGCATCCAGAGTTGTGCAGTACATTTAAAAACTGGGTACTTTTGCCAGGATTTGGCTTTCCTATATAGATTGCAACTTTATAGTTAGGTTATGTCCTGGAGAGTAGCAGTGCAAACTTGGCCTCGTGTCTGGAGGTGCTGGAAGGAGTCTCTTCACTCCGTATATTGTCTCTGTACTCCTTGGTCCACACTTTGAGATTTATTCTTGTGTGTCGTGATTGCATTTCACCCTTCCAACTTCAAGTTGCTAACATCTTGTAGTGGTGTTCTGTCTCCACTCCTCTCCTTTCTATGTTCTCCCTGTTCTTGTTTTCTCACAGGCTGTGCGAAGTTTAACTGTGCATCTGAGAGAGTGACCTTCAAGCCTGGTGGCAGGAGGACCCGATTTCTGAGTACGCCCTGCTTGGCTCTTTGTGTGTAACACCTTTACTCCTTCCTTGTCTGTCTTTTATTTTGTCTTTTTGGTTTTTGTTTCTGCTGCTTGATCTGTTTCATGCAGCCCATCCTCATCTGTCACCTTATATTCCCTCCCATCCCATGGCTCAGCTCAGCTGCTCTTAGCACACCTTTAGAAATTTGGGTTCTCATGTTAGGTGTTCTCTGCTGTTAAACTCACTGTAACAAGCACTCATTTTCTCTAAACCTTGAGAGGAAACTTTGAGCACAGGTCAGTGAAATGACACAAACTGGGGAGACTTAGCAAGTCCATTGGTAATTTTGCTTCAGCATATGTTAGATGATCTGAGACTTGCAGGAGGGGTAATCTTTCTAGTGGAAGAGTGAGGAAGATTTGTTTTCCAGGTTATCCCTTAGCTGGACACTTAAGTAGTGGTGGGGGAATGTTGCCCTCCCTGGCAGTGTGCTTGCAGCACAAGTTGGATGTGTGTCCCCATGCGCTCAGCTGGTGACAGTGCAGAGCTTTGATGCCACCTGTAGGCAGCTTGTAGTGACGACCTGTGTTCATTAACAGATGGCTAGATAGAGATCCAAGTGTTAAAGGGGTTTTAAAATATTAGAGAATAATTCCAGGCAAACTCAAAAGAACCTTACCTATTAATGGGCTCAAGTTTAGAAGTTTTCCCTGTGAATTGGAGATATATTCAATGTAAAACAAGTAGCAGTAAAGGTGGGTAAATAGACATTTTCAGACATCCTGTCAACCCTCACAAGCTAGCTTGCAGCTCTTTTCAGAATCCTCTCATTTGTACTTATATTAGGCCAAACTTACAAGAGAGCCTCAAACTTCTGATGTGGCTGAAATAACAATCTGCTTGAGCAAAGGCTGCTGGTGTGATGCTTTTTATTGGGAGTGCTGCAATATCTCCTATGCTGCTTCTGCAGGCTGGACTCTTTAAATGTGTGACATTTGTTTCCCACCCTCTGGAATGACTCGCCATGAGGAAGTTTGGAGTGCTGTCAGGAGCCCTCCTGTTGCTGCGCTGCATGGCAGTACCACATACCTGCATCATCTGTCTTGCTGTGCTTGGCAGGAGCTGTGTGTGGGAGCTGGGCCTGGCCTTCTGCAGAGACAGCTGCAATGCAACCAGCCCCATCCTCTGAGAAAGGAAGGGAGGCAAAAGGAGGGAAACATCTTTCCTGGCTGTTCAGTTTGCACTGACTCTAACCCACTTCACTGGATTTGGAATCTAAGCAGTAAATGATTTAATTTTTCAAATTTAGCAGCTTTAAATGTTTTTGCTGTGTATATTAATGTGCAGATGTGCACTGACATCTGCACTATCAAGATTTAATATTCCTTTCTTGGAAGAAGTTAAATTCTTATCAAAGCTAACTTAAAATTGTTAGTCTGGCCTGTCCTTTTTTGTGGGAAGGGAATATGAAGAGCAGCCAGTCTGTTTCTAGAATTGACATTGAACTGAGTATATGAGAGTATAATTTACTACCAAGGCCTAGGCTTGCTGTAAATTTGCCATCATCTGGCTATGAGAGTCCTTTGGCACGTATCTCTTGCTTCTGGGACTGATGCTAAGGGAAACAGCTTCCTTTTGAAAAGAGTGTTGTAGCTGTCCTGTAAAATCAGGTAATAGTTGGCATGGCTCAGCTTGGCTTGCTGCAGGCTGCTTACCTCCTGGAGCTTTGTCCTTGAAGCGCTGGTGCAGACTGCTGTGGAGAGTGACAGCTGGAGAAGATCCTGGGTTGGAATCAGTGGTGTTGAGGAAACAGTGCAGTGATTGATGCTTTTAACTGTGCAGCTGGAGAAACAGAGTGGTACAGCTTGGCAGGGAATGTCTGAACTGTTTTCACACATCTGAGACAAGAGGGTGACAAACTAAAAGCACTTGACCTATCAAATAAATCTGTTGCTGGTTGAAATTTGATAGTTGTAAAATGCTTCGTATGTCCTGGCAAAAATGGAAGATGTACTTGCTTTTCCTTCTGTGATAACAGCCACAGTTGTGACTGTTTGATAACAGTTGTGACCTCAGTGTCTCCTGACATTCTTCACAATGGTTTGGGAATGATGAAGAATAAATGTAGGAGGCTGGGCCTCTTCTCTTTGTGATTAAACTGTCAGATGAGTCTTTGAGTTTGTCTAGAATGTCCCAGTAGTGACTGTTAATGCCCTGCTGTGCTGTGTCCTCTGTTTCTCACCAAGCTTTTTGTAATGTTTCCTGATACTAAACATTTCTCACTGTTTCTCTTATCTTTAACAAATTACTCTCTCTTTGTGCTTCAGGGAAGATGGTGAAAAAAGTCTGTCCTTGCAACCAGCTCTGTAGTAATTATCTTATTTCTGTTATCTCCAATTCTTGATTGTAAATCTATTCATCAGCTTTTCTGGGTCACTGAAGCCTTATGTCCCTGACTCTGTCTCCAGCACAGCATCTGTCTGTCTGTGTGATGCCCTCTAATGTGTGCTCTGTCCTTAGTTTATTGACTAGTCTGGCGCTGCTCTTGCAGTCAGGTGGAGGCAGGCAGAACCTGCCCTTCCCTGGGAGCTCTGCTCTCCCTAATGACATCAGGGGCAGTTGCTCATTGTAATGTACTCAGAGTTGTACTCAGAGCAGCTGCTTGGTTTGGGATTTGAGGGGGCTTATCACCTCAGTGATGGATCCAATTGCAGACCTCCTCCAACATTTTAAAAGCCTAAGAGTAAGCTATCAGAGATCTCCAGTGTGTCTCCTAAAGCAAGAGATGTTCACAAAAGCCTGTGTGTACACATGTCATTTAAGACTTTTTTTAAAGGTGTCATTTGACTGTGGTTTATGGGGGGGAAAAAATTCAAGAGCAGAATTAAGGCATTAAGGTAGTGGGCTGGGGAGAGAGAGCCTGTTTCACTTCAGATCCCCCATGTCAGAGCAGAACTGGGGATGGCTGCTGTGACCGAGCAGGAATGTGGGGATTGTTTCCATGAATGCTACAAGTTGAAGCACTTGCTTTTCAGCCTCTTCTGGATGGCAGTTTCTGCAGGCAGTATGTCAGAGCTCAAATGTAGAATTCCTGAGAAGTCAGTTTTAAAAGTGAGAGCTCAGCTCTGATCCTGTAGGCCGGTATGTCTTTGACGTGAGATGGGAGCTCTCTGAGAAAGTCACTTTGGGAGACAAAGCTCTGGCAGCCTTTGTCACCTTGAACCAATCTAGTTCTTTGGAAAACTCTTAAACTTCCCTAAGGGATCTTTTATCTCTTCAGCTGAATGTGCTATACTTTATGCCTCGATTAACTCTCCCCCTTCCATAACCTGAGGAAGCTCTCTGGTGTAGGTCCAGGATCCAGAGTGATTAAAGTGGAAATGTGAAATAGCACAGGTGGATGCTGGCCATTCTAAAGAGGATGAGAGCAAGTGTGTCAATTCCTGCATGAACCCTCATGGTGGAATGTGATTATTACTGGTTTTGGCAGTGTTCCCCCTCCCCTCCCCCAAGTACCTCTTCCTTGCTTTTGACTCATTTGTATTTAACTTTACCTTTCACATCATTGCTCTTATTAAATTATTGTATCCAGAGCCCTTCCCACATGATGCATGCTCAAGGTTGTTGTTATTTCACTGTGGACTTTCCTTGCACCACCCAGTGTTCCCTGCTCCTCTCCATCAGTGCTACAGCCACACTCCCTGCTCAGGGAACCTTCTTCTTCCCTTGCCGTGTGTTCTCGCATGTGTCTGCCCCCACTAACACCTCCTGTGGGCACCCAGCCCAGGAGCCACTTCCATGCTTGAGCTGGAATTGGTGGGATGAATCTGTGTCCTTCCCTCCTCAGCACTACTAGAAGCAGTAACACTTTATTTGTCCTGCATAGTAAGTATGTCACCTTCCTAATCCACTTCTCAGTACGAAACATTCCTGCAGGGCTTTGGAACCAGTTCTTTCTTTGATACAGTGGTGGCAAGGAATGTGGCTGATGGCCAGGGAAAGTGGGACAGATGAAGGAACTGCCAGGCAAGAAACAGTGATTCTGTCATTTGGCCTTTGCAATAGAGACGTGATGGTCATTGCTGGCATTTCTGTGATCCACCTCTGAATGGCTTCCCTTCAGAAATGCTTGCCATAAACTCAGGTTTTCATGGATTTCCTAGGTGCAGTCTCCTGAGGGAGCAAGTAGAAATATTTGAGGAACTTCAGGAATAGATTAGGATGAGTGTTTGCAAGCAGTGCTGTCTTTAGCCCTGCTGCTGCTGATTTTGTTGTTGGGTCTGCTCTAGTGGTTAACTGGCACTTCCACAGCTGTAAATGAGGGTTTACAAACTTTTAAAAATACTGCTGGGAATTTTGGATCCTGGGCAATACATTACTTCTTTGCTTTGTGTTATGAGGTCTGCCTTTTAAAAACTTAGATTGAAGTGCAGTTGCTTGTTTATAAATATGAATGGCATAGGAAGGCTAACCAAAACAAAGCTTCTAGGTTGGTTTTCCCCCCTGACAGGATAATGTTCAGTAAATTTTCTAGCAGAACTGAAACCTGGCATTTATGTGAAGGGGTTTTGTGTTCTTGCAGTGAGAAGAGGAGGAATGAGTCTGAGGAATACCCTCACTTCTGCCTTCTTTAAGCTCTATTTTTTGTTTGTATCTCGAATGCTTATTCTTCTGACTTAGGAAATCTGAACATAATGGCAAAAAAAAATGCTTTTTAGAGTCAAAAAGCAAAATTTAATGCAATGCAGACCTGCAGACCTTCCCTGCAGATCCTGACTGTTAGGTGGATGAAGACAGTCCCATTTGATTATCCTCAAGAACATAAGTATGGCAGCTATGGGAAACAACAGTCGCTGTTTCTGCCTGGGGATTTTCTTTTTTTTTTTTTTTTTGTAAAGTGGGTGAATTTTTCTCTTAATTTCACAAAGTGGAGATAATTTGCTACAGAGCAGCTGGCGATGCTGATTTTACTGCTCCTTATTCAGCTTCCAGCATTGTTTTCCAAGGTGGAATTGAGCTATACCAGTAGTGGTTGCTGCTGACTAAAAGGTGTAGGATGAGAGAGCGACGTGCCTGTGCTTTCATTCGGTGCTGAAATCTGATGTCCTTTTTCTTCTACAAAGACCTGTAGGCTACTATCACTCCCCTCTTAGGATTGCAAAGTAAACCTGTCTGTGAAACACTCTGAATCTGAGATGTCCTTGCAGTTCCCACTTCAGTGTGTCCTGGAATGGAAACTCAGAATTAATTTGCATGGCATTTTAACTCTTGGTGTGCCATTACCACGGTTACTGAATGCACTAGAGACAGGCCAGCGCTGAGCCAGGTGGTGATGGCTGTGTTTGTGTTTGTAGGGACCAGCAGCACCAACACAGTGGGGGCTGCAGTGAACAGCCAGGCTCCCCAGACCCAGCCCACGGCCATCGCCTCCAGCCGCAAGGGCACCTTCACAGATGACCTGCACAAGCTGGTGGATAACTGGGCTCGGGACGCCATGAACCTGTCTGGCAAGAAAGTTGGCAAAGGGCACAGCAGCTACGAGGTGAGGTGTGACCTGTGAGGGGGTGTGGTGAGAAGCTGTGGGTGCCCTTCTGTCTCCCTGGGCTGGGGCAGCAGCTCTAGCACACTGCTGGCTGGCTCTTCACGTGCAGGATGTACTGGCTGCTCTAGAAGGGAAGGGGAAAACTAAAGGGGAGGGCCGTGGGCCGGCCCTGTAAATGCCCATTGGGAGTGGATTGTAGACCAAGGGGTGGAGTGGTGGTTTTTAAAGTTACACAGTTAAAGTTCTCTTGGTGGTTGGTTTACCTTTCAGGGCCCTGGAATGGCAAGAAAATTCTCGGCACCGGGTCAGCTCTGTATCTCTATGACATCTTCCCTGGGTGCTACACCCATCCCTGCAGCATCAGCTACCTCTTTAGGTCCCTTCAGCAAGGCCATGTGCCCCCCGCAGCAGTACGGTTACCCAGCAGCGTCCTTCCCCCCGCCCTGGGGTGGGGCAGGGGGGCCAGCACCGACACAGCTCGGCCAGTTCCAGCCCGTGGCTGCCACGTCTTTGCAAAGCTTCAACATCAGCAATTTGCAAAAGTCTGTCAGCAACCCTCCAGGCTCCAACCTGCGGACCACTTAGCCGTGCCCAGAGACCCTGCTGGCTACTCCTCGGGACAGGACTTGGGGAGGGAGATGGGGCCCTGTATCACTACTAGTGCTGCAATTAACTGGTAGCTTGCCAGACTGGGAATGAATTTCTCTTTTCCAACCATTGCTGTCAACTCTTGGTAGCGGGAGTTTCACCACGTGCTTGGAAGGGGGAGGAGGATGATGGGCATCCGTGTGATGGGACAGTGCTTTTCACCGAGGGGAGCTGCTCTTGTGTGCAGCGAGAGCTGTGAGCAGAAGCCAGGGCTCAGTTCATACAGTCTTGCTGTTAAATATTTCTGGTTGGGGGCTGAATCCACATGTGTAGAGGTGGGAGAGCTGAACCCTAGCATGAGGCTTTAGCATGCTTCTCGCCTCTTCCTGAAGATCCAAGATCCAGAAAAAGCTGTCCAAATTCCCCTCCTCTCCCTCTCCCCAGTCAATAGAATCTGACTCTGAAATGGTGGGGCACATGAATGGACTTGTGGTGCAGCCCGTGCTTGATAGGTCATTACTGCTTTAAGTAAGATATTAACAGCTTTGACTGCAGCATTAGAGCAATTTAAATTGTTAAAAAAAATTTTAAAGTTCCCTGCGGACATGTACTTACCATCAGTTTTGATGTGGAAACACTGTGATTATATAAATGTTGTTGGACAACAGTAGTTTAAAAATGAGTGGAATATAGAGGGTTAAAAAAGTTAAAAAGAAAAAATGGGAAAAAAAGCTAGCTATATCCTTATACTTATTGGAGACACTTTAACTTTTTCCTTTGTATTTTCATTGTATTAGATAAATAAATGTGAATGTAAAATTGTATAAATTAATGTACTTGAATACTTGTCTGTTCTCCCAGTATGCTTGCTGGATATTTTAGTGCCTTGGACTTCTCTTGCTTCTGCAGTTTAGCGTCGTCTTCCCAGCAGAGCCCAGGTGGGCAGAGGGCAAGCTGAGGGCAGGATGTTTGTGCCCATGCCCGGGATGTCGGAGCAGGAGCGTGGAAGGGAGGTCACCGAGGCTGTGGGTCAGAGCAGTTCTGTGTGGGGGAAACTTATCCAGGCGGGCAGAGCTGAAGGTGTGGGGTGACAGGGGCCAGGTGGGCTGGGACGGAAGGATGCAGGTGAAGCTACAACGAGACTTAACCAATATTGGCTCTGGAGGCAGGAGACTGGCTCAGAATGAGAGAGAGGATGGGGAGAATGTGTATCTTTGGGAAAGGCCCAATTTAAGATGCAGTTTGACTCCAGCTGTGAAGTGGAAAAGATGTTGGTCAGGATGTGACTTGAGGGAGAAGTGCCATTGCTCGTTTGGCTTGGGCTTGTCTGCTGGGATTGCTTTTCTTACCTTTTTTTTGGTAAAATTCATTTAAGCCAGGAACAGACTGTCCTGGTGCAACGTCCATTGCCGGCAATGGATGTACTTGAAGCAGCCGGCATCAAGAAGTTTCCTCTGTCTTACTTGGAGGATTTATAATTTTGTTCACTTTTAACAAATTTCAAGCTGGTACCAGGCCTGTCACTGTCTGTCACTTGTCCTCTCAGTATCTGTACTGTATCTTCTGCTTTGGTCATTCTCCCTTTTTGTGTTTAAGAAATACTGGTTTCCTCTTCAAAGTCAGAATAATACCAGCCAGTATTGATGCAGTGCTGCAAGCAGCTGTGAAGGACGAGGGTGGAGCTTCCTGGCGCTTGGGCTGAGGCTGCGGGAGGACAGGGCAGGTCAGAGGGGAGCAGGAGAGCAGCAAGCCCAGGTGGGAACCCCTGAAAGGATGGATGCAGGGGGAGGCTCCTGAGCACACCAGGGAAACAGGAGCGGGGACAGAGCTGAGGCAGTAATGAGACGAGGGCAATATTTGTGGCAGAGGAACTGGTCAGCTGGATGCAGCACATGGTTATTTAAATTTGATCTAAGAAGTTTGAGGTCGTTTTTTCACTTAATGTTATGCAAGAACTGGTTTTATTTACCATTGATTTTTTTTTTTCTCCCTCCCTCTCCTCCTGTGGATGAATAACTGAAGTCTAGAGGAATAAACTAATGCTACTGAACTGTTAAATTATTTTGTTTAATATTACACTTTGAGTATCTTTTTCCACATAAAATCTGTTTCTGAATTACAGGCGTTTTCTTTACATTATTTAACAATGTACACTGTAAAAAAATAAAAATAAAAAAAATAAAATTAATTGAAACTTTGGTCTTCCCTGGCCGCAGTTAGTTTTGTTTTGCGCTGAACCCTTCTTGTATGACTGTGCCCCACGCTGCAGTTTGTTACCTTTGTAGAATATTGAATGAAGCCATTCAAATAAACCAAACCTGCTTTGGTTGAGCTGTGGGTTTTCTTGTGGAACATCAGGTTCCAGCCCCTCTGTCCTGGTCCTGCAGTGATGTAACTGTTACCCAATTTACCAGTTCGTCACAGGAAATAAACCCAGTTTAATGAGAACTTTAACTGCTCAAGAGCAGTGACCAGTCACGAGCTTTTGACCTTTAACAGGGTACTCTGAAACAAAGTACTGAGAAGAGTAATTCCTAAATAGATCTTGAGAGGGGGAGTGGCCTGAGGGAGGAGAACAGATCAGCTGGGCCGGCGTGTCAGGGGCAGGTCCTCTGCTTGCTTGTGGCACAGAGGCATGAGCAGGGTCTGGGCTCTCCTGTGCTACCCCCTGCCTGCTCCTCTGGGCTGGGTGTGAGCAGGGATGTGCTCCCATCCTGTAGGGCTGGGAGAAGGAACTCCTCAGGGACCTTAGCAACAAGAATTCAGGCCTTGGATTGGAACTGTAATGGTCAACAGCATCATTCTCACACTGCAGACTTGCACTGTGAGAAACAAAGCTGACTTTTAAAATTTCAAAGGTTTATTAAACCTTAACAAAAATACAACAAAGGACTGAAGAAGGAAAAATTACAGTGCCAGGTGTCTCTGGGGGGCATTTGGGGAGGCCTGGCTTGTTACTAGGAGGTGTGGCATAACAACACCTGAGCTCCAATCAAGATGTATAAAAAGTGATCTCCACCAATGGACAGCAGAGAAGGAGCTGACAAAACCTTGGGAGGGGCTGAGGTATAAAAGGCAGAGCATCCATTTTGTAGGGGAGCATGTGGCTGCTGGCCACAGAGACTCCTGGTGCTGTAATTTTTCCTTCTTCAGTCCTTTGTTGTATTGTTGTTAAGGTTTAATAAACCTTTGAAATTTTAAGTCAGCTTTGTTTCTCACAAGGAGGAATTTGGTATTTCTAAACACTAATTGCTGCTGCATTTCTTTCCATTTTAAGAACAGCTTCTGTTATGAGTCATGCTGCGCAAGCCTGGAATGGAAAAAAAGCTCCCAGTATAAGTTTTCCTGCCCTTTTCAAAGGGACCAATCCCAAGAGACTCATTGCAGTGACTTTGTCAGAGGAGGCATAGCTATATTTGCACTGTTTCCAGAGCCAAGGAAGCTGAGGCAGTTCCATTTTTCTTACAGACTTTCGAATTTTTTTCATTGTAAAAGTTTGGAACAGCTTTGAATTCAGTAATTTGGAATGTCTGCGCTCTCCCTTCTTAGCAGGTATATGGTTTCAACAGCGAGGGCATGACTCAAACATGTGGAATGTGCTTCTTCCCTGAGCTGTTCTGAAGGCAGCATTGAATTGGCCAGAAACAAGTACGGTGAAAAGTGAAACTGTTTTCTAGATGTAATCTATAACTGTCAATTACGGTTAATTAATTATGTCCTGTCTTTGCACAGTGAAGTCAATTCCTGTCCTTTGTCCTGTTCAGGAGGCAAGAGGATAGTAAAGGATCTTTTATGGGAAAAGGACTGATTAAGTGATGAAGGCAGAGTAGGAGGAAGGGGAATAAATACTGAATATTCCAAATGTTTGCCCATCCTAAAGCAAAGGAGGCTGTGCAGGTGCAGTGCTGCCCCTTTCGCTTTAGAACATGGTGCCTCCTTTGAGGCCACGCAGCAGGGCGGAGAGGCACGAACCCAGCAGGGTTTTTTATTAAATTAATGTTTATTTCTGTATTGAAAGGGGTAGAAAGCTTATTTAAAAACAGCAGTTCAGCTCCCATTCATGTCCAAAGGATCGGACCAAGCATGGGGTTACTGTGTGCTAGAATGCAGCACTGAGGGAGAGACAAGCTATGAACTGCATCTCTCTTTTAACAATCCATTCTGTTAAGGCAATTTACAGGTAATATCCACTTGTAATATGGCCACAAGTCTTGTGCTGTAGAAGCACAAATAATGGCATGGTTATAGACAAAGTCATCTGCAATACATAATAACCTAAGAGTACATTAAGTTCTTCTCTGTTGCTTCACTACAATTTACAGCAGAGTTCATGTGACTGGAAAGCCAGCTGCAGCCTTGTGATGTAATCCATGACAGAGGCACAGATCCATTCGGGTGCCTCACGTAGGTTCCAATCTCCTTTTCTTCAAGCTCTGACTTTTTCTGAGGGGGCTGCACCCTGCCACACAGGGAGAAAGTGAGAAATGGACATTTTGTCTAAGTATGTTCCTCATTTCTTTCTCTAACTCTTCCTTGATAGGACAGTAGGATGGAAAAAACCAGTTTTCCAAGACCACTGTCCCAGCTTCTGCAGCCAGGTCCAAAAGAATGGAATGTTTCTCCCAGCGGACTTTCCCAGTCTCCCGAGAGCCCCTGTGAAGCCAGAGCTCCGTCACTCGTGGCAGCACGTACCTGGGGTGTGCTGGTGGGCACAGCTGGTGCTGAGGGCTGCAGCAGGGGGCTGCAGCTGTGCCAGCCTGGCAGCAGCTCTGTGCTGGTTCCCCCTGTGGGGTGTCCTGCAGCGAGTGCCCATCTGCTGATGGCCACGGGGCGTCTCGGGTGCCTGGTGAACAACTGGTGAGGGCTCTGATTGTTTGACACCCGTTACCTTTAGGTCAGTGCTCTCCAAGGAAATGTCCCAAAGTTCAGGATCATCTGGAAGGAATGAGAAAGGGATCCATGACACAGAACTGTATTACAGGAACGGCAGTAGCTGCAAGACCAGCACATTCTTTTCCTACAAGCAGTGACCACTATAAAATTTAAACTGTAAAGCATCTCTTATGTCAGTGAGAGTCCTGCCCCTTGTTCCCTTAAGCAAAGTGCAGGCACCACAATGTGTACCAAAATATCCATGCTTTTATTGAGAAAAGACACACCTCAAATCCCCCCCACCAGGTTCTGTATTGTGCAGTATCACCTCAGGAAAAGGATTTCTGAAACAGCTGTACAACTCTACTGAAGAGCCAAAGTGAAACCCCCCATAGAGATGAACATCATCTCCCTGCCACTCAGGCAAAGTTTGTATTGTAGAGGTCAGACTCACACTCACACTTCTGTTATTCCAATTCTTCAGCGCTTTTACCTTTACACTGTATTCTGAATTAACGTGGCTTAAATACCAATGATTTAACACTCATCACTCTTTGGCTGACCTGCAAAGAACTCCTCTTCTATCGCCAGCTCCTGTTGCACTTCTGCTGGAGTGCTGTGCTTCACAGGAGCATTGGATTTTGCTGCAAGGAGGCAACACAGGAAGAGATTAATACCAGAAATACAGATAACCTTTTGACTCCTTCTTAGCAGAGCACAAAGCCAGCACTACCACCAGGTACCCTCTTTTGTCCTAGAGCCAGCTAAGGCTTGGAAGCAGAATGTGGGAAGTAACATTCTGTACCTGATGACATCAGACGAGGAACTCTGCTACTCCAGTGTGGTTCTTAGCCTGTCTATCGCCATGTTCCTGCTACCACATGGCCCCAGACTGCCCCATGAGCCAAGGGCAATGTATCAGTAGCTCAGGCACTATCTGTTTGCTTGCAGCTACCACAGTCAAGTGCTGCAGCCTCAGCTTGGATGCAGCTGGTTAATGGTGCTGGCAACAGCTGATTTAGGGTGGCTGGATAGTTGCAGATTTAATGATGCAGGTTCAGAGCTGACATACCTGACACTTTTGGAACCCAGAGGGGGAATACATGATAATGCTCCTGCCTCTGGCCTCAAAGGTGTTAATGGCACAGCACAACAGCACATGAAGCTGGCCAGGCTCCTGTACTGTGGGCAGCCTGTGCCTGCCATCAGCTCTCATGGAAAGTGCCAGGTTTGGTTGCCACTTCTCACCCTGTTTGCTGCTGGGAGTAACTCCTGGGACCTGCTGCTTTTTCTCCATCTGCTCCCGGAACTGCTGCTGCAGCCGCTTCTGGCGCAGTTTCCTCTGGTAAGTGGCATCACACTCCATGGCCAAGGGGTCTGTGCTTCTGTTCTCCCATCCAGAAACACGAAGTTAAATAAGACCTCAGCAATTACATTTTGTGAAGAAAAAATTCATTAAGAAGTAACAGTAAAGAAAATCCACTGAACTAGTGCTTTATGGCATCTTTGAAATTGAGCTGTCTACATGTTTTAGAAGGCCCAGTAACTTCTGATACAGCTTAAAAAATACACTTAAAAGAGCAGTCTCACCTGGGAGCGTTGGGCTGTTTCTGATCTGCTGTCACAACAGCAGCCTCTGTCTGGACAGGCTTACAGCCAGGTGTCACCTCACAGCGCTGTCTCCCTGCTGCATTCTGCCTTTCCACATAGCTGCTGTATCTTGCTTGCTCTATTTCAGGCTCATAGTCCTGTATCTTAGCTTTGACCAAGTCTAACTCAGGGGGTATCTGGTCAAGGAGAAAAAGAAAAGGTTCAGAAATTTCTATCATCAACTTAATGAAATAAGCACTGGATAAAAATCTATTTTGTTCGCTCTCAGCTGAACAGTAAATTAGAAATATGAAATGCTCTTTCAGTACTCAGTAATTCAGTCAGTTAATCATTGAATTCCTGTGACTTTGTGTTGGTTTAACTGTTCAGTACTGCAGGGCAGATGGTGAGGTCTCCCCACACTGTTCTGCAAATGAGAACAAGATTTTAGAGCTTCTCACAGCCCCACAAGGCTGTTGCTGCGTGAGTTTGTTTTACCAGTCCATTTTCCTGCTTGTGCTGTAGAGCAAGGCCAACCTTTACTGACTTCTGAGGAAGGTACACCATTCCTTTTTATTAAAGGCAGGATGTTTTGGCTCTGTCATCTTACAGGTTTGTGGCAATGCCTGAAATAGACGATGACCCCGGCAAAACAGAGACCTGGGCCATCTTTACCTGGTGAGGTGTCACTTTGGATCTGCTCCTACAGTGTTTGACAGGACTGCCTTGCAGCTCTAGGTCTCTACTGTGATTGAAGGCAGCTTTGCTATCAAAGTCCATGGATCAGCAGTTCAGAAGGCTTCCTTCTCCCTCCTTCCACAAGGCAGGTCACTGCCTAGAAGCCTCCTGCCCCCAGCTGGTGCACACAGGAGCAGGCAGGATCCATGGTGGTTCCCAGAGTGCCACTTTAGGAACACCCTGCCCTGTGTGTGTGAGCTGTTTGTTAGGAAGGCTGTTGGTCTCAGGAGCCCTCAGGAATGAGATGCACTGACAGCAGCACTGCTAAGCTCTGTGGCTGCAGCAGCAGGGCCAGTGGGGGCTCTGACAGCCCTTGTACTGCACCTGCCGGGGAAGCTTGTTCACGGCTCGCAGGTAGTCCTTGTCCAGGATGCAGTTCCCAAGGGCATTGCCAAAGCACCTGAGAAACAAGAGGGCTCACTGTGACTGAAAACCCTTTATTCCCACACAACTTCTGAAAATGTACAAGTGCTGATCTTCACTTACTTGAGTGCTCTCTTCAGTCCATCTGTTACTGCCTCCTTTCTTGCCTTTTCTAAGGATAAGGCTTTAGACTTCAGGCCTTCACTGACTCCATATCCCACATCTTCATGATATGACCCATCCTGCAGTACAATTTCAAATAGAAGAGGATTTTTACATGCAGGTGCTATGCTCTCCCAAACCTGTTTGCTCTTGGTTGTTTGTTCCACAGCAAGGTCAATGTTTAGGACAGCAGTAGGTTCCCTAATGCAGGGCAGTACCCAAGGACTGTGCTCTGACCCATGCAAGGACTTTCATTCACAGCTTCAGGCAATTGCTCAGCTAGAGTCAGAGCCAACAAAAAAAAACATTTACCTTGAGCTGAACTTTCACAAAAGCACAGACACCCACGTAGAACCTGCCATTGTTGAGGTCAACAAAGTCTGGAAAGAGATATTTTAAGTGTTAATGTATAAGAACAATACTGGAAAAGCAACTGTTGTCTATGAAAGTAATTTCTTTCTTATGATCTAGTAGAAGTCTTCAGGTTGCAAATAATTTGCACAAGGTTTCATCATGGACAGAAAGCCTGAATTGCTAAGGAATGACTAGTTAAGGCATTATCTGAGAAAGGTAGAAGTTTGAAGGACAACAGTCCTTTCTTGACTGAAAAACGGGAAAGAAAACCGTGGTGCAGAATAGATGGAAAGCAATGAAATAAGGTGTTCTATTTCTAGAATCTACCAGCCTGAGTTAAGAAAAGATTTCTGAAGGTGGGGGAGAAGGAAGAAGGTAATTTAAGCTGCTGCTTTGACCTACTTCAACAACCAGTCTTCAGCATAAGCACAGCAGATCTGCAAACAAGGACAACACTCCTCTGGCAGGTTCTATTTCAGCTATCAGCATGGAAGAGGCTGAAACTCTAAGATCACCTGAACATGTTATAGTTGAAAGATTTTCCTGAAGTTTTCTGTTGTAAAAACCTCAGTACTGAGTATTAGCTAGAAGAAAAATCTGCACAAAAAGATGGGTCCCTAAAGATTAGGGTAATATAAACTGAGAATATAATCTGGTTAGTTGATATTCTAAAAATTACAGGTGAGTATGAAAGTTGGCTTAGGACTGCTGAGTGTTAAATAGTTTAATTGTAATTACTCTTGACTGAGAGTACCCATAGAGATCAGAGACTTGATTAGAACAGCTCAAGAATAATTATAATCACACTCAGATTAACGACAATGACAGATCTAAAATGAAAACAGAAGCTCCATTATTATTCAGTTTAACTCATTTTTACTGTTAAGACACCTGGAAGTTGCTCATGCCTCCGCCCAGGTGCTTTGAAGTGATGAAGCTGTAGCAGCTGAGGTCTCTTGGTCTGTTCAGTCTGGAGGAGGCTGAGGGGAGAACTCACTCAGTTACAACTCCTTGTGAAGGGAAGAGGGGGTCAGGCACTGATCTCTTCTGCGTGGTGACAGTGACAGGAGCTGAGAGAATAGCCTGGAGCTATTCTCTTTTTGTAATACCCAACCTAAACCTGCCCTGGCACATGCTGTGCCAGGGCAGGTTTAGGTTGGGTATTACAAAAAGGTTTTTCCCCCAGAGGGTGGCTGGGCACTAGAACAGCTCCCCAGGGCAGTGGGCACAGCACCAGCCTGCCAGAGCTCGAGGAGCGTTTGGACAATGTTCTCAGGCACATGGTGTGACTCTTGGAGTGTCCTGTGCAGGGCCAGGAGTTGGACCTGGTGATCCCTGCGGGTCCCTTCCAGTCATGTTCTGTGATGGAAACCCTGGCCCTTATCAAAGGGAATTTTCCTTCACATGGAAACAAGAGACCCTTACCAACATTCTGCTGAGTGACTGAGTGAGCCCAGCCATTGAAGCCAAACATTTCATTGGCCAGACTGATGACCTTGTGGCCCTCAATGTAACAGACCTGAAAAGAGCATACAAATAAATATATATATAAATACACAGCCTTGTGCACACATCTCTGCACACTTTATTTTTAACAGAGACTACACATACCATCTTACATCCTTACTGAGGAAACCCAGCTAAGTTCAAGGTTCATATAATGTGAATAAAAGACTGATGGTGCAGCTTCAGGTGTATTCTCTTCCAGCAAATGGTGGGGATTAATGTAACAATATAACCACTCAGTGGTGGTGGGGATTAATATAACATCAAATATTACTTAATCAACAGAAGGCAGAGTGGGCACTAAAGATGGTAAATGCAGCCACTGTTATATAATGTTTCATATAATCCAATTCTGGGGAAAAATAGGGAAAACATCTCAGTGTTGCACAAGTAGATAAATATTCCTTTGTAAAGGATGAAGCACTGAAAAATTAAATCTCTTTTTAAGTGTAAATGGAAAATCTATGGCTCAATCAAAGCCAGAACTTATGCCATGCTCACTTTGTGTTCATATCTGCATATTAAACTACTAGAGAGAAATTAACTTCAAAAAAAACAAGTAATATTACAACAACTTAAACCCTAGTTTTCCTGGGAAAAATTGGGTTGAATCATCATGTTTGTTCCTACCTTTTGCCCTCCTCCTGCCTGCCGGCTGCTGATGTAGTCTGGGCCCAGCCTCTGACGCAGCGCATGCTGAATAGTCCGATACTCGCTGGCTGTGTACTGATACTGGGCAAAAACACAACAACACACATCTCACCCTCCCTGTCTGAGCTTCCCCTCCTCTCCTAATAGCTCTGCTTTATCCCAGTCTTTCCAACATGGGCATGATCCAGGTTTTGAAACTGGGATCATGCACAGGCAAGGAAACACCTCAGGGTACGTATGTGCATTAGACCTTTTTTCAACTTACTCTTGATAGATACAGGCATTATTTACTGAGCTGCAGTAATTATTTATCATTAATAATCCTAACCACAAACAAACATATGAATTTCTATATTACTGCTCAAAACCAAAACACGAGTTCTGTGATCAACGAGAAAATTGTATTTAAAGACTCCAACAAAACTGAAGATTAACCATATGCCACTGCCACGTGTCACCAGGGCAGGGAGGACAGCAGCCCAGGAAAGCAGTCAGAATAGGAATTTCTTGAGTTATCCTATTTCTTTGGATTACTCCAACATCACTGGTATCATTGGAGAATACCAGCATCATGGGAAGCCTAAAGTGTTGTAAGTTTAGGTTTGTATTAGTAGAAATCCAAATTACAAAATGTAGCGAAGCCTAAACGTATGTTTATGGATTTGAGAAATAAAAAGCTTGTGCTGTTATGGCCTGAAATGGGACAGAACAGAGGTTTCACCACTTAAATCATAAATATTGAGTATGCTTGTACTGGCTGCCCTAACAATTCAGCAGAACACAGAATCATATAGTATGTGTTTGTGCCATATAAATTCCAACTCCTGACAAACCACTCTAATTTGTATTTAGTTTTATTTAGACTTAACAGTAAAAAATTTATCTTTTTGTGACTCTAGAATGTAAGCCTGTAACCAAAACGAATAAGGAAAAAAGGAAAATACAAGCTTGTGCCACATTCAGGAACTGTGTAAAAATGCCTATCATGGAGAAGAGAATTCACCACCAAAAGCTCTGCTCAGTCCAGATACAGTTTTCTTTTTTCAAATTATTTTACAACATTTCAAAATTATTTTTTAATAGCTCAAAGTAGTTGGCTTTTCTGAACCTGTACTGAGAACACATGTAAGCATGACTCATGCCATCTGGGAATAAGAGAGAATAAAATGAGACCCACTTTTAAGGTACAAGATGTAAAAACCTTTTGAGAAGAATCCAGACCAATTTACTGTAACTCAAGGCATGCCAAGACTATTGCAGAGAAAAAAATGTGAAGTACAGTAGGGTGTAGCATGATTCCAGCCTTACTGTACCCAAGTTTAAAAGGAAATAAACATGCAGAACAGATATCCAGTAGTGTGAGCATGCAACTTGCATTTCCCTTTTAGGCAAAAGGAACTGACCTGTCCAAAGGAAGCTACTGAGTCCCCAGTGTTGGAGCTGCTGCTGCTGCAGATCTCACCGTCCTTCCCCTGGCTCTCAGGCATCCCTAGAGATGAGAGAAAATATAATGACTGAAGAGGACAGAACTGACAGTCCATATGATGACATGGCAAAAAGCTTATTCTGAATATCACACTGGTAAAAAATTATAAATGTGTTTTTTCTTCCTTCTAGGTCAATGTGAAGGCACTGTACCATGCCAGAGAAGGAAGAAGAATTCCCTCTTTCAGATTCTTCAGCACTGTCTTCCTGGACCACTTTCAATATCCATTAATACTTTGATAAAAAGTAGGGGAAACTTTACTCAGCTATACCCTGACTTGTCAGTTTTATTTTAGATTGCTGTTTTGACTGTAATCACTCTGCCTGGTGCTTTATGGTGCCACATAAACCAACCATGCAGAGATGAGAACCACAGAACCTGTCAGAACTGTAAGAAGTGGTACCAATAATTCAGTAGATGGCAGCCTTTTCTAAGCCAGTATCCAACACTTCCCAGCACTGCACTTCCCCCTGCTCTGGAGCAGTGGGGCTGGAGAGATTGTGGACCCAGCTGTGCCAGGGGCTGTAGCAGCACTCCCAAATAACCCACAGAGATAATCTTTTATTGTAGTTGCACTAGTGCTGAATACAACTGATAGCCCAGCACTCAGACTTTTACAGGCAATACAAATACCAGACAAAATCAGACATACAAGAGAACTGGAGATGTCAAAACAGTTTAATAAAGCCTAAAATCCTCAGTAAATATAATGATTTGCCAGTCAGTCAGCACATGGCTAGTACTCTGCTTTGTTAATGCATTCCAGCTGTGGCACATTTTAAAATAATTTGTTCTTCTAGCCTCTAAACAAGAAATCCAAAGTTCATTGAGGACTTGGCAAACAATTTTCAGAAAAAGGATACTGGTTGTTTCCTTGGCAAATGTGAGCACTGGCAATTATGCCAAGTGTAGCTAAAATTCTCCTTAATTTTGGTTGGCTAGAATTATTCCTCTCTGGTCTCAACTTGTATAATTGTACAGTGTTCATACACATGAATGCATTTCCATCAGAAGTTAGCAGCAATTTGTAAATACATTTGGCTTTGGAAAATAGCAAATAGAAAGCAACATTACCAGGAGAAACACTTGTGATTTAAGCAGGCTATTTCCTCTGCTCAGCAAAGAGTTCACTACATGGGGAGGGAGACAATTAGAAAGACATAAATAGTGTGTGTGGCCAAGGGAGCTGAAATTTGAACAATACTGTTGCCTCCACTCACACCCCCAAGCCGCCCCAATCAGATCTTAATCACTCTGAGCCCTTGGGAAGAAACAATGACCAAAATGTCACTTGCCTACAAACACTATGACCAATTTATGCAAAGCAGGTGGGTGGCATTTTGATGCAAAATTGCTTAATACCGGTTTTAGTTAAAGTCCTTCAAGCTTTTATTTGGTTTTATATGGTCCACCATTATCAGTCTAAATTTAGTTGTCAATGGTTGGTAGTCAAATTATGTGTGAATCTAATTTGAGTGAAGGAGATACAAGTGAGCTTAGTTTCAGGCTTTACCTGCAGGAGCAGCTTCAGCTGTGAGCATTATTTAAACCATACCCTCGATCAGAGCAATGTGGGGGGTTTTGCAGTTGGGGAAGTGCAGCACAGCAAAGCTCTGTGTCTCAAAGCAATTGTCTGAGTGTTTCAGAGTGACAGAACTTCAATATAAAAAAATATTAGATTAGGAGCTGGGAACAATGAGAAGTTAATTCTGCACATGGAGCTGCAAATTATGTTGGTGCCAGAGCCAGGAAAGGCAAGATGTTTCCATTCCTCATTGGAATATTGTTTCCTCACTACCCTGCCCTCTCCCCACAACATTTTAACTCGCATGAAACATTAATGCTGAAGTAGATAATAAACTATTCACTGGAGTGCCCAAGAGCCTCAGACACCCTCTGAGGCCAGGGCTCAGAGGGTGTCTGGTAGGAGGCTGCCTGTCCCATTAATCAGTGTTAAAATATGCCCTATTTTTAAACCAGAAAGACTAAAAATTAAAGTTCAAATATGCATTTGAATATGCAGGATGATACAAGCAGCTTATCAGTTTAACGGCGCCTAAGAATTATACTTTGCTATCTCTGTGGCAATGGAGCCATTGTTTATTATTTACAGGGAATTCTTTTGAGTTTAGCTGGTAATGTTCTCAGGAAGTTTTCTTGTCACTGAGAAGGAGTCCACATAAGACTAGAGGTGCTACACTGTGCTCCAAAGCATTGCCTTGACACACTAGAACAGGTAAAGAAACTAATCAGCTTTGACTACTACCTATTTTGATCTTGTCTTTCAAAATTTGAGCACATTGGGTACATAATCATAAAAAAACAATCTCTGGTTCGGGAAATTGGATATGAAATACTAATTTTTGACAGCATGGTACAAGTAGGTATATTTGCATGATGTTGAAATTGAGCACTGCTGAGAAAAATGTGTGTGTACACAAATTCTTGTGCAGGAAATAAACCAATCTTCCAGAACTGATAATCCTGAACTTAATCCTAAACCTAATCTGTTCAAGTATATCTACCACTGTGGGGCTACAGCAGCAACACCTTCACCTACCATGATTGTGTGGACATAACTTCTAATTTTCTAACTTCCTCACACACCTTTCTATCCCACTATCCATTACCCCCTACAAATTTACTGTGCTCCTAAATTATGTCTTTTCCTATCAGTTCCACTCTGCCTTGACAAACCAGGTTTCTGAACCATGCTCTGTGCTCTGATCCTGTGGTAGGAGTGCCAGAGCCTAGCTCTCCTCACCTGTGAGGTGGAAGCAGGCAGTTTTGCATCACTTCAGAATAGCTTGCATACCATGCATTGTGCGAGCACCACAGCTTGGGCAATGTTCCACGGAATTAATCCCAGCATCCCACAAGCTAAGACAGGATTCAGCATAGGCTGTGAACATCCAGAGGGCTTTTCATTCATCCTTGCCCTCTCTATCTGGTAAGCTTCCTTCTCTGAGGGGCTTTGGTCTGCTGAGTAAAGATCTTCAACATTCTTTCAATAAATGCAATTCCACTGAGCCCAGCAAGAGCAAACAGTTACACAGGCAGCAAGTGTGATTTAGCAAGCACTAAAGATAATGCCACATACTTAACCTAAGGTATTACTCTAAGAAAATATCCGAAAAACTTCACAAGCTTTATATTTCTGTGGAGTTTTCTTTCCTTTGAGAACCCCAAACTATTTTATAAGCTGATTTACCTGTTATGCAAAGGCTGCTTTAACACAGACCTGAAGTACCTCTTTCAAGTGTAATGGGGCAGATGTTCCTAACCAAGACAGGCCTGTGCTACTCCACAGTTTACAAGGAGTGGAAGAGATGATGCAGTTGCTTGTGGATAAGTTGTACACAATAGAACTCCCCAGTTTTCATCTCTGATATCACTAATTAAACAACCTTGATGACTTGAGAAAAGCGAGGTAATGTTCTGTTAACTTCGACGGGAGGAAAAGATACTCACTGAGGGGTTAAACATGGAAATGCAGGGGTAGCTCAGGAGACTGAGTGTCTGCTGCAACTACAGCTGGCCTCAGGTGCTGACAGTGCCTTTTTCATGCCCCTCAATCATTCAGGCCACATTCTGTAACAAGAGAAAAGGTGTAAGATAGCATGTTTGAGCTCCCTGCAGTAGTTTAAATATGTTTGCTTTCAAGGCATACAAGCACCACTCTGACAATTCCTGCTCAGTTACACACGTCAGGTGCACACCTCCGTGCAGCCCCACTCATTCCACTGGAATCTGTGTGGCTCCAAAAGCACAACTCAACTCTTTTATTTGTCAGGCACTTTACTCTTGGCATGTCTAGGATCATGATACTCCCTACACTGAACAGAAAACACTATTTCTGATTCCACTTCTTTAACAGTTTAATGAGCACAAGGTAAAGCTTTCTCCCTTACTTTTATATAGTTCTGGAAGTGTAACAGTGCATTTGTGGGGGTGTGTTTCTATTTAAGAATTTTTGGATACACCTAACACCTGAAACAAAGCTTACCTAGGCAATTCCTGCATTTTTGGAAGACAGGATGAGAAGCTCACCTCCTTACTCATTGTGCTGTTTCCTGCCAGGCAGCCTTTACACAGCAGCCACAAGCTCATGAAAATCAATGTAGCTGCTGGAAGCTGTTTAGGGGTCTGCTTTCCCAATAATTACAAATCCAGCCCAAACTGCTTTGTTTAGCATGTGTTTGCTGTGTTGTAGCCTCCATATTTTTCAAATTTTGCTGGTTACGCCTCCAAATATTTGCTTTAATAGCAGTGGTGTGTGTGCAGTTACCCCTTTGCTATGTCATTTTCTTTGCTGTTTCACTGCCCATTGCAATTTTTGGGTCCAAAAAAGTTTCCTTAGTTAAAAATGCACCAACAGCATCCTAGGAGACAGGGCATTCCAAACAATTGTAAATTTGAAATACATTTGCTTTCCAAGAATATAAATCCTGTTTAATTTTTCACATTATTTAATTCCTTTGCATTTACTCACAACTTAATAAAAATATTTCATTAAAGGGATTGACTGGTACTCTTGCACAAATAATCTTTCTGATATTATTAAAAAAAATCCTTGTAACAATAAACAATAACGAAGGGGTAGAACTGAAAGAAAAAGAGAACAACTCTGTCATACTAATTTTTTTCAGGTATGAAACAGTAACACCTTACAGGCACAGCTGACACTTCTGGCAGCAAGACCCTATTAAGATGACACACTAACTAAGCTGGGATAAAAAACCTAAAGCTCTCAAGCTCTGTTTTGCTCCAGGTTGACACTTGCTTATTGTTAAATGGAAATTCATTTACACTTGAGATTGGCAGGATACTTGAGGCGTGGGCAAGCCTGTATCTATTTCCATCCTTCTGCCTTCTTAGCCAGCAATACAAGTATAAATTATCTCCTTTTTGGGGGGATACCTTAGGCTTGACAGAAGGCCTTAGATACTGTAGCATGCACTTACATGCACTATATAAGCCCACAGAAATTAATTAAATATGGACTCTCTGCTTCCACAGTAGAAAGGGAAGTTCAGGTTATTGAGATCTCAGTGGATATCAGCCTGCCAGAGGTCCGAATTAAAATATAAGCGATAATTAAACATAATACATACAATGTAAAAATATAATAATAAATTAGATATAAAATATATGTAAAATAAATATGACGAAATGCTATAATTACAATATAAGCTGTATTCATTGCAAGGAGATACGAATTTAAACACGTCAATAAGGATCGTTCCTTGCATAGTCTGACAGACCTAACCCACTTGCCACGATCTCTCAATTCAGCATCCCTGGGAGTAAGGGCTAAGGAAGTCCGTGCTGCTGTTGGCTCCCTGAAATCAGAGCAAATCTACCTTGAAAGGATTCTTGATGGGGTCAGTGGCTGTCCGCCCGAGCTCCCTCAGGAAACAGCGGCCTCACTCAGGTCGCTGGCCCGCCGGCCGAGGCCGCTCAGCAGCCGCCCTCAGGGGAGACCCCGGCTCGGGACCGAGTTCCCAGACTCTGTGGGGCCGTGCCGCTGTCCCGGGTCCCTGCCGGCTGTCCCGGGTCCCTGCCGCTGTCCCGGATCCCTGCTGTTTGTCCCGGATCCCTGCCGCTGTCCCGGATCCCTGCCGCTGTCCCGGGTCCCTGCCGTTTGTCCCGGATCCCTGCCGCTGTCCCGGGTCCCTGCCGTTTGTCCCGGATCCCTGCCGGCTGTCCCGGTTCTCTGCCCGCCGGGTGCCGGGGCCCTGCCGCGGCCTGTTCGCACTTCCCGCCCGGAGCGGCCGCTACGGCGCCGGAGAACGGCCAAACTTCCCTGGGGACGCGCGCGGGCGGTGACGTGCACGGGCGGGGGCGGGTCGAGGGAAGCCCCGCGCGGCGAGCTCGCGCGCTGGGGGGCGGGGCCTGCGCGTGTCTCGCGCCGGGGGCGCGGGAGGGAGCGGCGGAGGAGAAGCGGCCGGGAGCCGAGCCGGGCCGAGCCGAGCCGAGCCGAGCCGAGCCGAGCCGTGCCGACGCCGCGGGCTGACAGGCAGGTGAGGGGCCGCGCTCGGGGCGGGGGGGTCGGGTTGGGTTAGCGCGCCTCGCCGTCCGCTGGGGGGAGCCCGGGGCGGGGCGGGGCCTGCAGGCGCCGGTAGCCGCGGGAGCAGCGCCGCGCTGGGCAGGGCTGCGGCCGGCCGGGCTCCGGCGGCGGTGCTGCGGCCGCGGAGCTGCGGCGCAGGTGGGTGCGGGCCCGCGGGCGGCTCGGCCCCGGGGTGCGCGGGCTGCGGCCGGGCGGAGGGAGGGAGGGAGGGAGGGGGCGGCCGGGGGGTCGCGGCCTCTCCCCGCCGGGCCCCGCACGCTGTTAGTGCCCGCGGCGGGGTGGCCCCGGCCCGGCCCCGGCCCGGCCCCGGGGCGGCCGCATCGCCCCGTGGGCCCGCGTCCTGCCGGGCGGGATTTGGTCGTGCCTCTCGCGGGCGGTCATTCCTGCTCTGCCCATTCGCCTTCCCGGCCGTGCTTTTCCGCCCCTCCTCACTCAGGCTGTCCTTGGGAAGCGCACGCTTTTGTTATCTCAGTCACCTCATCGGAGGTAATGCTGAGCGCTGTGGTCCTGCCCAGACCTTGCGGCGGTGCTGGGCTGTTTAGGTTTTGTCTGTGAGCGCTGCCCGGTCAGTTTCACCTATTTTATTGTGTCTACTACGAGCTGCTGTCAGCTGACACGGTGCTTTGTTTCTGAGTCTGCTGCCATCCTGAAGCCTGTGTCAGGAGTTGCTGCCCTTCCACAATCGTCTGGTTTGTAGTGTGAGCTCTGGAGGTTACTTACGAAGCACACAATTTATTTAATCTGGAATGTTACGTGCGCTCTGGAAGTTTCATCTTATGGTTTGTGCTGATACAGTGTGAAATGGTTTAAAGGGAAGCCCCAGTGGAAATGGGAGAAACTAGGAGATGCAAAGATGTAAAGAAACACGGAGGTGCTGATGGTGGTGAGAAGCAATACACAAGCCGAGAGAATGGAAAGCAAATGGATAAAACCAGAATTGTTCTGGAGAACAAGTGTTTTACATTTTGTCCCAGCACATTCTGGGGGCCATGCTCAAATATGCAGGGTGGTTGTAGCTGGATTGTGTTTTACCTCAGATCCAACAGGCTGTAACCACAGAAAGTTGTCTGGTTTGGTTGTGGGGTTGTGATTCTCAAACAATGGCCAACTGGGCAAGGATGTCTGCAGCAATAACCTGCGCCAGCTGCCTGCCCTCCTTTGCTCCCTGAGATTATTGCGTCTGCAGCCGTAGGTGGCTGCACACACATCTCCTCCTGAGCTACAGCCTGACACGGTACTGGAGTTTGTGTTGGAAACTGCAGCAGCTCGGATGTGTGCCCCAATTCAGGGTCGGTTATGAGTCAGCACCCTGAGAGCCATTCCAAATAGAATAAGAAGAGAGAAATCACCACCTTGCCCGTCCTGCTGTGACTAGAGTTGGTAGTAAAATAGGGGATTTTTTCAGTAATGAAAGCAGTAATTATTTAGTTAACAGCTGTATTGAATGTATTTCAGTTCTGGAAGCACAGTTCAGAACTTTATCACAGAACAGCAGTTCCCAGAGCAGTCAAGTCTACGCCTACTGTATCATCCAGAAATTTGGGATTGTCTGAATTCATCAGGCTGCAGCTAGAAAAAGATTGGGATCTGCTGAATTAAATGTGAGTTTATCATAATATTTGATATAATTTAAACTTCTTCTACCACTTCTGGGAAACCAATTCAACTGTAATTAAATCACTGTTGGGATGTTAGCAGAAGCCTGAACCAAAGAAAACCTGCTCTCTAGACTGTATTAAAGCATCATGTTTTTCATCATTTTTAGCATTCTATTTGATCCTGTCATGAGCTTTTTTGAGATTCCATTCACGTAACTTTTCATCTGTAATATGTGGCTAATAGCCTGATTAGCAAAAAAGGCAAATTTGGTATTTATGTGGCCTATTCCCTTTTACTAAATGGCAAATATTGCTGATGAGAGAAACCCCGGCTGTTTCTTTGAGGGGTCTTTAGCATTTAGTGGGTTTCTTACTTTTTTTTCTGTCCTTTTTTTTTTCTTCTTTCTTTCTTTGAATCTGCCACTTTCTCAGTTCCTTGTAGCAGTTGCATGCTGCTGTATGAATAGAAATAGTTCACCATGCTATTGTGCTTGAGTTCCTTGCCCCTATTTCTTACTTTGTGAAGCAGGATACTCTCCCATTGTTATCTCTCATCCCCTCACCCCTCCTTCTTTTCAAGCCTGTTGCCCTGAAAACCTCTCTCGGGTGAGAGTTTTGTTACAACTCTTACCTGGCTAAGGAGAATTGTGTTATATTTGGAGGGTCTGGCTTGTTTTAGTATGGTTTGGTCACAAATGTAAGTGTGAAGGGATGCATGTGGCTTTTTAAATAATATAACTTTACTAGGACTAAACCTTCTGCAAGAGGGCGGCCAGTGAGGTGAGGAGGGTTCTGTCCATTGCTGCCTGTTTAAGCCAAGAGTTTAATTCTGGAATGCAGCAGTAGAGCAGGAGATCCTAGAAAATCCAGTGCTGATTTAGAAATAGTGGTGTTTTGTAGCACGTGGGCTATGTCAATATGCCAGCATTGTTGTCAGGGTGAGATTATGATGGAATTTCTGTAGCTGGAGCATGCTTTGCCTTGCAGTGGGATGTTGCCCATGGTGACTTTAGGCTGGCTGTCTGCATGGGTTCACTAGAGCTTCTGGGCACTTCTGGGCTTCTGAAAATCTTTAGTGCTTTTAACATTTTATTTCTGCTATTAGGAAGTGGGTTGTTGGTTGCATGCTACCTGTAGGAAAGAACAACAGCCAAGGGTAAAAACACATAGTATTGACTGACTTTATACTCTAAAATGAGCCTATAAACTCAGTGGCAGAAAATTATCATCCACAGGTCTTCAATCTTCTACATAATTAGAAGAGACAGAGTTAATTTAATCATTTTATCCTTAGGAAGTGATATATGTGATATAAGTGTTATGTTGAAGTTCTGATACCTGTTGTTTTTTGTGTTTTGCCTTTAAAAAAGGCACATGATGATTTTTTTTCTTCACATCTGCTTTAAATTTACAGACTTATAATTATGTCCCAGTCATTGCACAAAAGAAATCCTGGTGCACCTAGCCAGACTCCCTACACAGGAGTAAATGAAGGTTTAGGTGAAATATATGTATTTATTATAATAACAACAAGCCTTTTTTGTGGTCTTGTTTGTTTGGGAAAGGAGATAGAAAGAAATGGGGCTGTGATGGTGACAGCAGACCCTTTAGAAATAAAACCCTGTTTAGAAATAAAATGCTCTCTTGACAAATGAATGCTGTTTTTTTTCCCTAAACCTGTTAGGGTCAGGGTTGATGACATACCTTTTACAAAACATATTGTTTTAATATGTCAGAGTCACTTGAATATTTTTGGGGATTTCTGAGATGCTTTCCTGGGAAGATTTATCTGTCTGTGTGTATGGGAGAGAATGTATCAATTACATCTTGTGTTGGGTGAGACAGAACAAAGGCTCTATTACAGTCAGTGAACCTGGCAGATGTGGAAGTAGGTGAATTTAATATAAAAAATATAAAACAAGCACCAGCACCACCATCCCCCCAGCTTTTAAAAAGGATAGGATATAAACAGATGGCAGTGCTTCAGCATTTATTTATATACTCTTTAGGAATGAGAGACAATTCTAATATGAACAGTTACTTTTTTGTCTTATTTATCTCTTAATTTCATTCATCATTGTTGCTTTCTTGCTGTCAAGGCCACAAGGATATTTTGATAAACAACCTTGAATTCCATGGGTTCCATGCCTTGTGTCCATCATTGGCTGGCTTGCAGTTTCCAAAGTAAATTCGGTTCTCTCCTTTTGTGTGTAGCAGTAATTAATTTAACGTGAAAAGTAGTGAGTCTTCTTACCTTCCAAAACTAAGGAAACCTAAAATCTACAATACAGCCTTAAGAGATAGAGGCTTGACAGTTTTTTCATAAAGTAATGTAGCAGCCATAGGTTTTGTGACTGTGAGGTGGGCTAGGAAGTAACAGGAATTAGTTTTTTCTCTTAAGTGCACCTCTAAGTTGTTGTGAATCATGTCAATTCTCTCATTATACACACTATTTGGATTCCTGGTAGGGTTTGGTTGCAGTGTAAGCTTTTCTTTGTTTGGAATGCCATCTTTTCTACCTGCCCCCTCTGTTCTATCTACTCTGCAGTCTCTGTCCTACTGTGTAATCTAGACACACTTACTTGCCATTAACCATTCGGGTGTGAATTATGTAAATGGGAACAATTACTACCTCTGTTAATGAAGTCTAATGTGTCTGCTACAGTCCTTTATCAGATTAAGATGCCTCTTGTAAAGGCTGACTTTGCTTTTATTATGAAACTGCCATTCAAAGCTTTCCTTGTGCACACAGGAATCAGTGTGGCAAGGAAGTTTGTCTTCTGGAAGCTGAATGCATGGCTTCCAGTCTGCTGCTGAGAGGCTCTAGAGGGGTCCCTGGGCTGTGAGATGCACTTGCCTGCCTGGTCTGTGATCCCACTGCCCCATTCCTATCAGGCAGTGATGCTATTAAGG